ATACCTTATTATTACCATGAAAACAATTAAACTTTATTTTTAGTGAAGTATTTATTCAATATTTATTGAACTGTAATAATCACCAGTTCAAATTTCCAATAAATATGGCCCTTGATTAAAATCAAGAGAGAAGTTTACCTGTCTAGACCTGATGAGTACACAGGGCAGAGAGGTAAAGATAATGTGTAATGCTGTATTTTAATTGTTGATCTACCTATAAAATCAACACATCGTGTACTGTGATAACATACACTGATAGTTAAAATTATCTCAATAAGTAACCACAGATACTATTGCAATGTTTTTGTTTTTAACTATTTGTTATTCACGAAGGTTTCTTGAAATCATCTAAAAAATTTAGCAATAAAAATAAATCTAATAATAAATTAAATATGCTGTCGTCTAATGAATTGAAGAAAATAAAATGTGCATGAAGTAGCCAAGATAATATAAAATATTTATTTTTTAGTTTTAAATTACAAAACATTTAAAAGCATATAATATTTATTAATAATTCAGTAGTTTAAAACAAAATTGACAATTATCGAAAATTTGTAGACATGTTTGACAATACTTTTCTTTCTAGCTCAAATGTATACTGAGGAATAAAACACAATTCAACAAGTTATTTCATAACTGAATTTCATTTATAAATCCATAAATTATTTTTTTTAAAAGTAATTAAAAGAACCGGGTTGAAATATCCAGAAACAATTTTTTTTTAACTACCAGGTAGTCTACCCACATAGTCCAATACTGCATTAAAAAACAAAAAGTATAAACAGCCAATGGGACAATTTAAAATAGAACATTCTATTGTTTGCAATTATTTGCTTAATAAATCAGCTAATTCTAGAGCTAAGTTCATCAAGCACAGAAGGAATAGTTAGGCTAGTGATAATGGCACAATCATACTTAAATATTTCCAGTTCTTACCTTCAGTCGTTTAAAGTACTAAAATATTCTAAAACCTTATTTTCAATTTGCTGACCATGCTTGTTTGATGATTTTTACCTCCCCACTCCCCCTCCCCCGTCACAAAAAGCCAGAACCCCACCCCCCCCCCCCCCTATAAAATGTCACATCTCAGCCTACAACCCCCCCTCCAAATTGCAGTTGAATTTTTCTTAAAATAGGATATTTTTCCAAAACCTTGTCTGAACTCTGTCAACATAGAGTATTTTTATCAATTCCTAATACTGTTTTCTAAAACACAAAATAACGTCTAAAATTCATTTTCTAATATTTTTTATAATGCAAAAGTGTGACGTCACACCATATGATTCATGAACACACCTCCTACCCCTCATCACAAACTATCACAAAATTATAGACCCCCTCCCCCCTATGAGTGTGACATCATTTATGGACTACCCCGAACACATAGTTTATAATTAATGATATATTTTTCAACTACTTACAGGGTAAACATTGTCATTCACTTTGGAATATTCCAGATTGGATTCCAGCTTGAACAATTACAAAAAAAAGTATTAGTAAGTTTAAGTAAGTATTAGTAGCTGAAAAATTCCGATTATTGGGCAATTTAGCATTTTAAGTTTTTTGTTTTCAGCCTTACTTATATTTTATATGTTAACTAATCCAAAAACAAAACAATTTGTATGATGGTTAAACCCAGTGACAACTATTTGTGCATATATTACATTTTCTTCATTTTAATTAATCACAATTAAAATTAAATAGAAAAACAAACACTAGGGCCTGTGGGTATGATCAATTTTTTTGGCTGTTGGTAAAGCCATTGAATCATGGTTAGCTAAGAGTTGGACACAACAGATGATGGTTTAACTCTTAACAAAATTACCTGATAGAATGCATTGGTTAAAGTTTTGCTGTGCTGTAAACTTTCTGACAATTTAAATGGGACACCTTCAAGCTCAGCAAATCCATGCCCTCTTCCAACTGAAAAGAAGTAATAACATAATTACTTACATTAAACATATAAGATAGATGCAGATGAGAATCACTTTATGGGATCCCAATACAATTTATTTCTTTGTTTTCTTTTAATTGGAGAAGACACAAAAGGAATTAAAACTCAAAAGGTAATCGATTTCACGTTTGGGTATGAACGGTGCATGCTACTCCAAAATTGTTTGTGCAGTTTTTCATTTAACACGGAATCATTTTGCAAATTTAAGAATTCATTGGGAAAGCTGGCAACATCATGGGAGCAGAGAATGGGTAGCGTTCCAATGCAGATTCTTCTTCTTTCAGCTCAGGGAAAATAACACAGTGGTTCGCTTTCAAGAGATTTAAGATGTGAAGAATCCTCTTTCAAATTTTTATTTATCTCACAATCGGATTCATCTATCACACTGCAGAGTTTATCAAACATGGCAATATTTCCGATATTTGTTTTTCTTTGCCAATTTTGCAGCTTTGATAAAAATGCCAAGAGATTATCATGAAAAGAGATAATATTCGTTCATTTTCAGGTAAAGCTTATGTTGATGTTCGAATATATCTGTTGGGTATGATACTCTCTCCTACCACTCTTTGTCGTTAAAGTATTTCAAAAGGTCTTGTTTCCCTTGCACTTCCGAGAACAACTTGATTTCAAGTGTAGAACCTCGTGAACTTTATTCACATCTTTGCACAGTTCTAGAAACAGATGGAGTTTGGAGATCCAGATTTAATATAATTCACGACTTTTATTAGCAATGGAGTCGGAAAAGTCTTGCTGGCGAAGGCATACCGGTGAATCATGCAGTGGATTCCCCTTCATTAGGGAGCTAAATCTTTTACTTTTTTTTGAAAGCCCGATTTTGACCCAAACATGACACACCATCCATACAAACCCCACTGCCGTTTTCTTATTTTAATCATCCAGTTTCAAAAAACGTATTTATTTTCTTCATGATATCTTCACAAAATATCAACTCTTCTTTGCTATCATCCTAATGAATGTATTTCATAAAGACAAGCAACTAGTAACATGAACTCACGTCAATTGATTCGTCAACTTGAAAATCAAACAATGGTGAAAGCTTGATTTCGTTCAAAATTAGTTTTTCAACATCTACGGATGTCTGATAGAGTCTATATCATATGCCACTGAATAGTATTATTAGACAGAGATATTTGTTGCATCTTTACTGCACTGTAATACCAAAGAATTAATTTTACCATCCTCAACATGCAGGGTTTAATGAGATTTTCTCCTATTGTGTGAGGTTTTTTTGCTTGGCAATTTCTAATGCGACTTCATATGATGCTTGCAGTAATGCTGTGTTTTCTTGGTGAAAACTTCATGTTCAATCAAGTCTCTGATGTTTGAAACTAGCTTCATGCCGATGATAGAACTCCATATCATTTTGCTGTGTTCCGAATGACTTGTCTCAAAATGACATTTTATCCTTGAAAGCTTCATAGACTCAAAACTGAGAACAACTTTTCAAAGTTTGCATTGTTTGTTCTCTATTCCATCTCCAGTGAAGTTAGTAAAGCCGAACTTCATATATTTTTCTAAATATTTATGGTTTTTTTCATTGCTAGGGTTTAGTCTACCAGTTGGCGCCCCCCCCCCCCCCCCCAGAAAGCCCTTCAAGTCGTGACCCCCAGTTTGTCTAGATCTAGTAAGTTCAGTTTAGTTAAATTAAGTCAGTTAAGTCAGTGTAGTAATGTCCCGTAGGCGTAATAAAATTTAATAAATTAATACTAAAATGATTTTTAATATTGATTAATACTTTCACTTTGTGATTAGAGTAGACGGTAGACTGTAGACTGACTTAAGTAGACTAGTAGTAGAATCTAGTAGTACAGTAGTAAGCTAAGAATTAGATCTAGATCTACTAAAAAAGTAAAGAGTAAAGTAAATCTGGATCTAGAAAAAATCTAAATTAAAAAGTAAAGGGCAGTAATGATGAGTAATAATGAGTAAGAAAGGCCGACGCCCTTACGAGTACTGACTAGTCATGTAACGAACTTCATCTATCTGATTCTGATGCCGCTTGCCGTACAAAGACATGTCTATTTTTTATTTGATGAAACTAACTAGATCTAGAGTCAATAGATATTTATTAATTTACTAATTAACAACAAGATTTAGCCTGTTAGGCTAGTACTAGGGTCTAGAATCTAGATCTAATTTTTGTTTTTAATCAGACCGATTATTTAGAATGTTGAATGTTAGGGCCTAGCTTAGTTTTGCAATTTTTTCTTTCGTTTCGCTGCATTTTTTTTTTTTTTTACAAAAATGCGAAAAATGCATTGGTTAGGCCTATGTTGACTTGAAAGCTTTCGGTGCTTTCATTCTATTTAAAAGTACATTTATTAAAAGTAATTTTGCTTCTTTCTAACATATCTTCGGGGAGAAGGGGCACTGCATGTCTATCCCCCCCCCCTCAAAATGTGTACATCGTTTTATTGGCCTTCCATTTTATCTTTTGTCTAGCAGAGTAGCACTGTAAATTGTAGGTAAATTTCTTGAAGCTTTGAAGACCTAGTGAATGTGATTGTATTATATATATGAGCAATGGTTTTTTAACTATCTCATTTTAGGCCTATAGAATCATGAGGAACTTGTATTTTTTGAAGCACCCTTCCCCGCCCTCCAAACCGAACAAAATTTGTATTATTTATATTTAAAGCCCCTATAGTAAAATACAAACCTACATACTTCTTACTAATGTCAGAAGGTGTCTCACTCCCAAAAGCAATTGAAAGAAATCCTGCTTAGGCCTATATGGTTATATTTTCAGCTAGGCTAAGCATAACTGTTAAAGCATATTCTTTATTAAAAAAACTGATTATGTATGTTTAATATATAATTTATATATCAATACTGTCTCAGTATATTAAACAACAGATAATAGACCTATACAAGTTATTAGGTGTTATATTAAAAAAATGAAGTAAAATGTAAACAGAAGGCTGGAAATTTCAAATGGGCCTACTTATTACACACAAATATCAACACATTAACCAACTCAGATAATAAGTTTAAGAATTGTTTATTTTAACAAATTAACAGGAATTCTTTGTTTATTAAGTAAATAAACAATCTATTGAAACAAAACTTGCATAAAACCACAATACTTTTTTTTTCTCTAGAAATAATCAACATCTCATAACTATCATAACCAAATTATCACTTCTAGTCAACATAAAAACGCAGCAAAGAATAGATAAGACATTTTATAGGCTCCAATGCCAAACAGTGAAGCAACAAAGCCTTCAGTGATGTGACAAACCAAATTTTGACATGATTAAGGTCCATGCTGCTAGTTTTAAATGTTGTAAACAGCATCATGCACAAAGTGGTTATAATGAGAATGAACATGAAGATGATTCTCAATGAGCTGAAAAAAGGAACTTTCAGATTTCCTGTGGCATACAGCTCAACATTGAAGAGGTCATCTCTGTGATACTCACGCTGAAAATCTGTCTCTTGAGTGTAGGAGTCTGCAATGTTCTGAGATGATAGAGCAATCTAAAAAAAATAGTTAAAAAACAGTACTTAATAATACAGTATACATTTTAGGTTTCACTGTCTGCCATAATCATATTATTTCGAAGTAAAAAAAAAAAAACTGTTTTATACTACTGCACATTTTCATTTATAAAACTATTCATTGTGTAGCTAATCTAGGTACACATTTAATGCCCTCTTCACAATCTGGAAAAAAGCACTATGCATGTCATGTATCCTAAAATTGACTATTTAACACAACTAAATACCAACAAACTCCACATTTTTGTAAATTGAACACTGGGCAGCCTGAGACACCTGGCACAAACTAGCAAACAACATGGCCAGACAGGCATTAGATTGGAACCTAAAAAAATAAACAGGGAGTGATCTCCCCGAAACTTTCTCGAATATTCTTATATAAGACTACAGGGGATAGCAACTCGGAATATAGACATGATTTTTAATCAATTTTTAATTAAACTTTTAAAAATAAAATCTGAGTGAACAGCAAACAATGTGTGTATAATAGTGCAGGATATTAGTACTTTATAAATTCATATGCATTTTTTTAAGAAATCAGAAATAGTGTAAAGTATTACTTCTGGTCGCTGGAAATTACTCAAAATTTGAAAAAAGGCAGAGAATATGATCTTTTAATTAGATGTGAAATTTCGTCTATCTATCTGAAACATTACTCAAGTTATAAGTACCACTCCGGTTACCAGGAATTGCTGAAAAGTTGATACAGAACTACAAATTTGATATAATACTTATATATGAAATTTCATCAACCTAGCTGTATCGGTACTCAAGTTATCATGTTCACAGACACACACACACAGACATATGGACAAAATTGAAAAACTGTGTTTTTTCGACTCATGAAGGTGTAAAACGTCAAGATTTGTGAAAATCTCTATTTTGATTTTTTGCACAATTACAATACTTCATCTATACTTCATACACATGAAAATAAATAAGAATAGAGTATAGCCTTAAACTAAGTCATCTCTTTGCTGCATAAGAGGCCTATAGTGGAATGACAAAGATAAAACACCTTTTGGGAATAGTTAAAAAAAATGTCTTCACCAGCAACACTTTTCATCCAAACAAGAACAAAAACCACTCACTTGTTCTATAAGATTTGCTTGTACTTTGGCTAAGTGGATTTCCAATTTTCTCTGCTTCTGAAGCTCATTTATGTCTACATAACCTTTCAGTTTTCTCCTCACTTTTAACATAGCTGATTAGTAGAAAAATAATATAAAAGTATTACAAGCCTATATATTAGATCAATCTTGTCATAGTTTGTGTACTATTCGTTTAAGAAAGAGTTAATATAGGTTTGTGAAGAAAATATGACAAAATAAAAAAAGTACAATAAATAAAAATGAAGACTGTACTTTCTTGCGTTTATTGTTTTAAAAAGCAAATGAAGTGTGAGTGATCAACCATAAACTTTTTTGTATGTTCTTATATAACAGTAAATCATGTTAAAGAAGTATTTTTTATTAATTTTCTTAATACTTAAATATTTTATATAGAATGAATTTTTAAAAAAGAACAATATGTGTATAAATGAGCATTTAAAAAGTTAATTCAACATCTAATTAAGTCAAATATGTCACAGTGCATTGTCATCAACTCTTGACCTATGTGAAAAGTTTAAAGCAAATCGCTCCAATAGAACTGATATTTTTTCGAGCAATTGGAAATACTGTTAAGAATTACATCCAGTCACTGGAGATCATCAAAAAATGTAATAGAATGAAGAAAATTAAATCTTATACCTATATATAAATTTTGTTTATCTAACTGAAACCGTACTTATGATGTTTTCTGTATTTTAGAAACCGGAAATAAAGAACCACTTCTTGATATTAGAGGTCACTCAAAATTTGAGAGTTATCTAAGTAAAAGATCTTATACTTATATATGAAATTTCATCTCCCTAACTGATACAGTACTTAAGCTATCATGTTCCCACAGAAATAAAGTATCACTTCTGGTTACCGGAAATTGTTCTAATGTTGACAGAAACCTTTGCGTACAAACTAATATTTATTTTTGGAATTTTGTCCAACCTAACTTCAACAGTACTTAACTTACAGGCTTTTGAGAAAGCAGTAGTGGAGTAAGCACCACTTCCTGTTATCAAAAAATCATCCAAAAGTTGAAAAAAATATATACAAATTTGCTATTATACTTAGATATGAAATTGGGTCAACCTAACTGAATTGTTACACAGGTTATGGTGTTTACATCACACACACAGAAGAACAGGATTGAAAAACCGTTTTTCCAGCTCAATGAGCTGATAAAGGTCAGAAGTTGTCAAATATCAATTAAAATTTTTGCATGATTACAATGCTTCCTTTATATTTTTGTTAAAATGAATCCTTTCTATTCTGATTACAATGTACTTTATATTCCGTGTATGTTGAAGCGGGGAAGTGTGCACGATTAGAATACTTTCTCTATACTCTGTAGGCTAATCAAGAAAGTAAAAAGAAATGAAAGTAAAAAGAAATTAATTTAAAAAGAAATTAAGATAACTAATTTACTACTCACTCGTTGCCACTTCATCAAGTTTAGGATTTTTCTGTTCAATTACAAACATGTATTCAAATGTTTTTATTCAACAATTTTTAATTTAATCTATAACAAATATATGCTCAATTTTTAATAACATTTAACAAAATCTATCTCATCTAGATCTATCTGTAATTAACTAACTTCATATAAACATGAATTTCTTACCGTTTTTAATGAAGCTAACTTGGGTAGGATTTCATTCATGCGAAGTGAGGATGCATAGTTTAGTTTCTGTAAAGCAAAAAGTATTTTAGATAGTAAGCAAAAAAATTAAATATTGGGAATTGGACTACATAATAAAGTCTAATATTTTTCATTAGTTAATTGCTGATTTCAAGAAATCAAAATTACAGAGTATCTTACTAAATATTTTGTCGAAACAAATACAAAATTTAAAATAAAAAAACATCTTGAAGTTTAATCAATTTATAATAATAAAATTCAAGGTTGTAAATTTAAAAAAACACATCATAATCAGCTAAAGACAGCAGACTCACCAAATTTGGAGGTAATGGAGGAACACCTTTGATAGCATTAGGACCCCACCGTAGCAATGGGGAAGATATAGTTTGATGACTTTCTGTTGGAACCTCAGTGAAAGATTCATCAATCTTATAAGCTGGTTTCAGCTAGTAAAAAAAAAAAATTAACAAAGCTAAGTTTCATAATCTAAAAACTATAATAGTTCATCTATCATCTAAAAGGAATACTGGATTTCTTTTTCAATTTATTTCAATAGGATCTAGATCTAAATTTGTGTAATGGGAAATAAAATAACCATACCATTTTCAGTTTAAGGCGACCATCAATATCTTTAGCAGGTTTCAGTTTTTTAAGGTACCCCATAAGCTCTTTGAATTCCCGAATCTGAAAAAATACAAAGCACTTGCTTTATTTTTACTTTTTTTTTTAAATGTGATCTATTTTTTTTTAAAAAGAGAACTTACAAGTACTAGACAGTGCATTAAAAAAATTTTTTTTTAAATTTTGTTTCTTTAAAAGTTTATTTATAAAATGAGCTATTTCTTTACCTTTACTTCCACAATATCATTGATAAAATATGTGCATGTCTTAAGGAAAGTGGGTTCAGCAGTAACTTGCATGACACTGATAGCTTCCATCAAGTAAATTTCTTCCATTTTAATTTTTGGAAAAAGCACATCAACATTTGTTGCTGAATCTAACACACTTAATAGTCGAGGTTTCAAGACCTTCCTAAAATTAGAAATGACACTGATGAGTATGTCAAAACCAATAGAGTCACTGGGTCAGGTGATGCCTGATACAATGACCCAGGTTATTACACCTCCTCACCAACGATCTTGTAAACGTTTAATTTAAACTATGATAATTTTGTGTCACCCACACTCCATATGTTGTCACCCTGTGCCTAATGATGTATATTATTGTTGGATGTTGTCACCTAACATCACCCCTGCCTTATGACGCTACTTGTCAAAACACACACAAATAGGGCAATAAATAAAATAAGCAGAGTTCACAATACATAAGGTATTGTATTTTGTTATGGTATCTTCAGATGTAAACACAAGTTTTCAGGTTAGGGGGAGCAGCAAGTCGAGAAATGGTGTCATACAGGCCTATATAGGCCTGAACAAGATGCCTATGGTTGATGTTCTAAATCAGCTGACAAGCAAGGGAACTGGAAGTTTCCTGCTTAGACTACACTTATTAATTAAGATCAGTGGGTGGTTGACAATGACATCCAATATCCAGCAAATAGCAGATGTACTGATGTTATTTACATTTTGACTCACTCATGCCTTGCACTGAGCTAGGCACAGAGAAGTAAGCCAAGAAGCAGGCCTATAGGCTATTTGCGACGAGCCATTGAAAAACTAGATAGTCACATGACATGAGGTTTAAGTTCAAATTGTCTTTAAAGTGATTTTGGTTTTTTTTTGTGTGTTGTAGTGGAACTTGATTTAAATTAATCCCCAAAAAGGGCCACACTATACTTAAAATGGTTGTGGGGGAATGAGCCACTCCCCTGTGCACCCCCCCCCCCCCCCCCGCTTGTATGTGCTACTGGGTTTCTTAATAATAATATGTATTTTGTTTCTAATCAGAGAAATTTATGTTGCATGAGAAACTAAATTTAATGGTAATTCCTAGGGTACAAAATAGTTCAATTGTTAATTGTTTACTTTGCTATCTTGAGTATTGTAGTATATGCCTTGGACTCAATTTCCCTCAAGCGATCGCGGCTGTGGTCTAACAGTATTTCATGTTCTCTGCTGATCATGCCAGTATATATAGAGAAGCCCAGGATTCTTTCTTGTACCAGACACTGAGCTAGCAGCAAAGCACAGTGATTCAGCTCATTTTCTTTTACTGTGACTCTCCACTTGTTACACAGAACTTCTACTATTCCCTATGGTGGTTTTAAGAGAAGAAAAAACACAATATATATACATATATATATATATATATATATATATATATATATATATATATATATATATATATATAATTTTATATACATACACATATATATACAATTATATCATTCATAGTGTAAAAAAAAACATTCTACCAGCATGCATTAAACATTCTGAATTATTACCTGAATGATCTTTTTCTTTTTGATGCTAACCCAAGTATCCTTTTGGGCAGACTTACTATATTCATTTCTTGCCTGAATTCTATCTCTTCTATTCCCTATTTTACTTAAATAAAAAATAAAAAAATTAAAACATTATTTAAGCACAGTTGCTATGATAAATAAGTAAGAAAAAATGAACGTATAAAATGTTTTAGATAAAAGCAGACAAACGAGCAATACTTTGATTTGAAATAGGAGAAAAATGTAAGGTATGATGAAACTGATTAGTGGATTTCACTGGTCCTGCATCAGAGCTTTTAATGACACTCTGCTGTGTGTATGTATATATGATTGTGTGGGTGGATGTATAAGAGTATGAATGTGTGTGTATGTATGTATATGTGTGTGTGTTTGTGTAAATGTATGAGCATGTGTATGTGTGTATGCATGTGTGTGTATGTGTACATATGTGTTTATATTTACATATGTGTACTTTTTGCATGAATTCTTATCACTTCTGTGTAGTATTTAATAACTTTTGTTTTGTAAATGACTTTTTGTTGTCAATGGATATATTGTGTGACTTGCTATTCATTTTGCACTTTCTATCCTCCTTATAATTACTAGCAGTCCTATTGTTCAGTATACTCTATGAAGACTCCTTCACCATCAATAAATGCGGGAGTTGTCCATAAACGATGTTGCTCTTTGAGTGGGGATGGAAAATTGTGAAGGGTGAGGTAAAAATCATAAAAAAAAATATGTAGTCATTTAGGGATCAATTTTATAGTAAATACAATGTTGACAGTAATACCCTGAAGTATTAATAACATTTACTCATGTTACTAATATTAGGTTAACAAAGTGATACATTTTATTAGTTTTCATGTTGACTTATAACCACTTGAAAATGTGTATATTTGTGAGTCTTTGAAAAGTATGACAGGACAATTATATACTTGAAGTCTAACTCTCTATGTTATGCTTGAAATATAATAAGTCAGACTATTCCTATAGTAACTTTGATCTAAAACTGGTATCTTGATAATTTAGGCTAGTAAGAGATACAATGGTATTTCTGGCTGCTCGCTGAAAGTCCTGCACTATTAACAGACTGGTACAATAATATCAGACTGCTCTATTACTGCCAGATAGTATGCCACAGACCTACATTAAGAAGTGTGTGGGGAAGGTAGAATCACATCTGTCCCTTTAAAAACCAAGTTGTATTTATCTAACCCAATAAATGTGTTATATTTGCTAGTTTAAATTGTGATACAAACTTTTAAGGCCGTATTAATAAACTGCTGTACTGCGCATGCATTAAAAGACCATCTTTATATAATTGGTTTTCTTTCAATAAAAAATTTATATACACATCATTACCAGTAAAACTATTATTCTTGGTTGGTAAGCCAAGCAGTTATTTATATATCAAGTAAAACAAATCAAATAAATGAGCACCCTTTTATTTAACAACAGCATTAGAAGTATTAAGCAGAGACACAAAATTAGCATGATTTGTTTTGTATCGAGATTTTCAGTGCCAGAAACAATAATTGATTTGTTCTCAATAACCATTATCATATCACATTGAAATTATTAGTCCCTATTCAAATTCATATTATCTTTTGATTTATAAAGAAAAATAAAAAATTCTGACTTTGTTGGTTTAATTCTTATTTTTGGTAAATCAAACATTCATACAATATTCTGGGGAGGATTAGTTACTTAAACACAAATATCGTTGATTCTAATAAACTAATAATAAGTCGAATACCTCAAGTCAGCTTCTGTAATATTCTGAATGTTGCCAACTCTGGGTGACATGGCCTCCAGTAACTTGTAAGTCATGGCCCTAGTGACTTTACTGGCTAACACACCAGGGGGGTCCTCCAGCTCCATCATCACTTCCTTCTTAGCCACGTTCATCATCATAGCACAGTAGTTTTGGATTGTTATTTTGTAGGTTAATTCAATGTTGATTTCCTTTTCTGCTACACAAATAGTGTCACGGGTAAAAAACTTTACCAGTTTATCCATCTGAAATAATGAAGGCAAGAGAAGAATAAGGAAGATAAATCACCCAAACTGTTGAATTGAAGAGGTTTGTATTGGTCAAAGATCAAGTTATGTATAAATAGCTCATAAGGTTGCAGCCATTTAAATGTTATGTTACTTTAAGCTAATCTTGCATTATTTCATTCAAACATTTTCACATGTACTAGTAACAGGTTTTTTTTTTCAATTTAAGTTTTATTTACAGACATAGATAAAAGGTTATCCCCTGTGAAGATCACATTACAATACAGATGAATTAGTACTACATATTCCAAGTAAAGTGGTAAGCATCTTAGCTGTGATTAAACATTACTGTAGACATATCTAAGAAAACTTTAGTTTTTGCATTTTAAAGCTTGTTTTTTTGTTGTCAAAATGAATATGTAAAATTACTTAATAAGTTGCTGTATATGATTATCAAAACGTTTATGTACTCTGTGTATTCTTCATTAATTCTAATTCAAAAAATGACACAAGTAATTTAAAAATTAAACAAGTGATAAAAAATTTAACAAGTAATTTAAAAATTTGACAAGTAATTTAAAAAATTTAAGAAGTACTTTAAAAATGGAACAAGTAATTTATAAATTCTATTAATTTACAAATGTTATGGTAAACAATACATGAAAATCATCAAAGGAAAAAATCAAAGAAAAAACATTTTAAGAAAAAAAAATGTAAACACCTACTTTATCACAACCTTTGTTAGTAATCTTAACTTCATCATTATTTTGAATTATCTTTGCACAAAAAACACATTGTGGTTTAGGTTTAATTCTGACACCAAATTTCCTCCTGCGTATTTGAGCTTGCTCAATCCTGAATGTTTGTCTATTTTCTGAGACCACATTAGTCAACTGTTCTATCAGGGTCAAACATTCGGTGACCAGTTTGTTGCATGCGAAGCCATTTTCAGTATATGTTATAGGACCTTTAAATTCTGTTCCTGTATAAAGTGTTGCCTGAACAAAAGTAATCAGCCAATCATATAATCTAAGCTTAAATGGATACTGATATAGTATGACACATAATAGAAATAAATAATATAACATTACAATTTCATGTTAAGAAGCTAAACCTGAAAATTCAATGTTACAATTAAATAGTGCTATTCCTTATAAAATTAACTATATGTCAATGGAAAAAAAAAAGATTTTAAAACAAGTTAAAATATTTTTAAATAGCTCATTTTTTTTAGTAAGACTAAATGTAATGGTCATTATAAAAGAGAATTGAAATGAATTTGTACAAGTTTTAAAAATAGTCACCTTCTGCTCCATTAAATGATAAATGGCAAGCACCATTTGTTTTCTTTTCCATAATTCAGCTGTTTGTTCTATTGTATTACCCAATGAAGCAAAATGTAGATGTCCTTGAATTATCTTTTTTATTAATCCAAGTGAGTGATGTCCAACCTTCATAACATATATTAACAGATAATTTTTAAACAGCTGAACTTTTTAACAAACAACTATTAAAGTTATATATAAGAGATTGTTAAAAAAAATGGCAAAACAAAAATAATGAAATAACTAAATGTTGTAACAAATTATATGAGTTACCTTTTTATGGATGTCTGCATAAGCAGAACACCTTTTACTTCCACAACAATATCCCAAAATCTCATCTCGATGGCGATGGTAGAGTTTGGGCTCGTCTGAATCTTTTCTCATTGCAAATCTTTGATCAAACATTGGACCAAGGACCACTTCTTCATACTCTGAGATATGCATTCCCTGTCCTGTTGAAAAACATACAATATGCAGCACAGACTAGAAGCTGACAATATTTATAGGACCACAATACTTTCACTAAAATAAGTTTGTTTTACTTTAATATTTTTTGTGAATTAAAAAGTTAATTTTTAACTCTACATTTGAAATATGAGAGGTAACATCATTCTTAAGAATATTCATGTAACAAGAGAATATATGTTGAAGACTAACACGAGCAAACAGCACTTACTGAGGTTTGTTTCTTCAATTTCTGCTTTACTTTCCTGCTGTTTCTGTGCAAGCACTGCAGCTAACGCTTTGTTAGCTTCATCCTCTTTCTCTTGTCCTTCTTCCATCAATGCCTCGTTCTCAATAGCATTGGCATTTGTGTTGGTGGCCAGATCATCCCCAGCCTTGGCATTGGTGTTCCGGTCTGCAAACACTGTCACATTACTAGAACTGTATGAGTGAACAGACACTTCAGTCAGGCTAACCACATCACTGCCTGCTAGACTGGTTCCCACAGGTTGATGAACATTATCTACTCTAATGTTTCCTGCCAAGTTCAGACAAACATTGCTGTCTCCAATCATTTCTTCCTCTTCCTTAATGCTGCTGAAGCGTTGTATGGAGCAAGGTAATTTTCTTTTTCTTGCATTTGTAGATTCTTCAACTTCTTTTTTCTTATATGCAGTAGCCCCTTCTCCAACAAGGCTAAATGTAGGCAAGTGTTTAGATGAAACACCTCTGTTACTTTGAGGTTCAAAGATGGGTTGAGCGTGATCAAAATCCAGTTGATCCTCAAAGCAATCCATAACCTCCAGTATGTCAGGCATGTATGTTACTTGAGGAGAAAAGGCTTGGGGTGGACGTCTCCAATTGAGAAAGAGGTTACGAACAAAGGTCAAAGGAGAGGTGGCAAAATTGCGTGCCGCACTCTCATTTGTGTCAACTGGTTCAGCTGGAAAGTGATTGTAAATTAATTTACAATAACATTAAATTTCTTTCTTTTTTTACGATTCCTCTAAAAGATTTCTAAAAGATAACAAAAAGAATTAATTTGCTCAGCATTACACATTGTATAATTCTAAAGTTGTCAGCTACTGTGTAATTTCAAATCAAGTGGGTAATCTATATGGTAACCTGGCATATCTTACCAATTTTACTATCTAACCCTTGCAGTGCTTTTGAATTAACATTCTGGAGTTGCATTTCCTTGAAGCGTTTCTGACGTTTTTTCCATGCTGCTTGAATTTCTCGAGCACTTCTTTTACCAAACACAAGGATAGTCCGATAGATGAAACTTTTGATCTAACACAATAAATCCAAAAAACTTTTTTAAATAAAAAAAAATTTTTTCGCAATTAATTAAAAAGCTACAAATTGTTTGTAAAGAAGTCAAATCAATGGATTAATTAAAAATGAATTTTTACATAAAGTAATAAACAAACTTACCTGAGTGGATGGATTTTTCTGTTTTTCAATATGATTTTTAATAGCATACAAAATCAGGCAGCCAAGTAGTCCATTCCACTGGTGCAAGCATAATTGAGCAAGTCGAGCTCTCAGTGCCATATTACTGATCTTCATAATGCACAAAATATCTTTACAAATTATGTGGCTAAAAATCAGACCAGCCTGCCCAGAAAAAAAGGGAGTTATTGCAAAATAAAATTATTCTTCCTGAATTCTTATAAACTGCTGGAAAAAGCATAACATCATCAAACCTGTTGGGGATCTTCAACAAAATGGAGAGGCCAGTCCTGGAGCCAGCAGCAGAAAAAACACAGTTGGTTTTGAAACCCAGATGTGAACTGCTTGACCAACTTCTCCTCCTTCAGCTCCCATGCCTCCTTACCAAGCCACTTCATAGACAAGGGGAGCGGTAAGGCACAGAAACTCATTATTCTTGTGTACCAATAGCCTTCTCTGGGAAGAAAAGTTTATTAATATCTAGAAAAAAACTCATTGATAAACTGTCATTTATTAAACAAAGTAATGTTGGGACTTCTGACTGAGTTAAACATTTATTAAAAATCTTCCACTAAAAATTATAACAGTAAAATAATAAATGTTTACATTTTATAAAAGAAATTATTTTGTTAATGTATTACTTTTAAAGATTTAAAAAAAACAAATGATTAATAAGAGTTGCAAAACCTACTTACCGCTCTTCCTCTAACCCAATGAGTCCCCAGTAGTTAAAGTATGAATGCACAGGCTGTATTCTGAATATGGAACGTGCACTATCATGCCTGGTCCCATAGGGAACAATCACTCGTTTTTTGGGAATAAGTGGCCAAATTTTATCCCAATCATATTCAATGCTAAAATCATGCAGCCCTAGCTGAGATTCTACAGGTTCGACAAGCCCACGGAACCTTGAATACTTTCGAGCTCTGAAGTTGGATGACAAAACACACCTTTTTGTAATATTTTGTAAAAATTTTCAATAGTTAATAATACAATTATAAAATAAATAACAAATTAAACCATGTTAATTTAGTCAGAGGCTATCCCATGTGGGGCACAACTCACGTGGAAGTAGGTACGGTGTTTCTAAATAGGGCTTCAAAAATAATTTCCAGCACCCAGACGGCACCTACGGCAGAAAGCATCCTCAGCACTAAACCATCCCCCTCTTGTTGTAAGATGCTTGGGGTGTTGGGTAGGACTTTAATGCGGAATGCCAACTACAGCATAAAAAAGATAGAACTGTTGCTATTTTAATTCATACACTGATGGAAAGGGCAAAAGTTCTGCTCAGGAGACTTAACTCTTAGAAGTACAGTATCAAACACTATTTTAAAAACATGTCTTATTTTCTTAAAGAAAAAAAAAGTGAGTAAATAATTTAAAATACTTATATTGTATAATAAATAAAATAAATTATCTAGATAAAGTAACAATACGTTTGATTCAATGTTACAGTTAAATGAAGGCAAATTTAAATATAAACAAGATATAGTAAGATTATTAACTTAAAAGATTACTTTGGCATAGTAAGAAGAAACAAATAGGTAGTGAAAATGTAAACCTACTTCAGTTAGAAGCACTGTGGTCAAAATTCCAGAAATGACAAAAAATACCATGATGACATTAACAAAATTATTGTATGTTCCAATGCGAATTGGTGAGTGAAACATAGAGATCCATATATCAAATAAACACAAGGACTTCAAGATACCATATCTGTCTCTGAAAAGTAAGTTTCAACATGATTCTTTCTTTCTTTAAACATTTATAAATTAAGGAGTGCTTAGCATTATTTGGAATATTATTTTAAAGAAATATCAAATAGTACCTTCTTTTCTTAACACAAGTAAAATTTACATTGAGAACATCTTTACAACGCATCTTAGAGCCTCGGGTTCCCCACTGTAATCTGGTAGCAGGTTGCATAATTGATATGTATGATGGGTGCCTATGTAATAAAAATCAGTAGATACATTTCTTTTAGATGTAATCAAATAAGCTACCTTATTGTAAAACCATTAAAATTCTTCCAAAAAAAAATCTTTTTAAATTAAAATATTTGTTAACAAGATTTTAAAAATAGACTAATATTTTCTGAAAATTGCTGTTATTATCTAAATAAAAGTATATATATGCATGCAGGTTGCACAGACCTAACCGGTAATTATAGATAACCATTGAGGTAGTATAAAAATTGACTTCTCCTACAGAAATAAAAACTTATAACAACAATCCTCACCATTCAACATATGGTATTTCATGTGGGGTATCATTTATTAATGTGAAGGTGACTTCAAGAATATCTCCTAAATTACCTAAATTAGAGATATTTTGATAGATTTATATGTGAAAAATAGTGTCTATCTAATCCACTCCCTCCTACTGCTCAAATAATATGCATGCTTACATAAACAAATACATATAAATTTTACACACATACTTTTTAAGAGATTACATAATATTACTCACATGAAGAATGATAGACAAATATATTCGTAGCCCCACGTTCAAGAAAAAATTCAATGCCTTTTCCTTTCTTTAAAACTAGAATTGGAGAATCAGCAAACGATCCCAAGAGTTGCAAAGTGATTCTTCCTCTTTCATCAAATGATGATCCTAGAGTCACAAAAAGAGAATTTTACTTCCCTCCCAAAAAGACAAAATAAAGCTACCATTTCCATTAAGAACAATATCGTACACTTAAATAACGTAGTCTTTTCCCGTTTGTGCCCAAGACATCTGGGGCAGATGAAGTAGAGTTCATCTGTTTCAGTAACCTCAGGATAAAGGAGGATTATGAGGCCGGCCCCAAGCCTAGCCACTTATGTTTACCTAATGTATGTCAGGTATCCATCAGATGGGTGGACTGACTCAGGCATGTTCTAAATACCAGAGCCCAGGATCCAAACTTGAGACTTGGGGTTAGAAGTCGTAAGCTCTACCCTCTAACCACACAGTCCCCGTATATCCAAAGTATATATTCTAAATATTCTTTTCATAAATCTTCTCTTACTGCCATTAATTTGAGCAGTCTTCAGTGTATATAAGGCGTCTAATAACAAATTGTCAAAAAGCAAATTCTGAGCTCTCTAATTAGAATTAGATCACTTTGCACATATTGCTCGTAGATTCATTTTTTCATGTAATTGCATATGTCTAAATAAAAGGTTCTTTAATAATAGAAACTTAATTTTTCTTCCATCCAAAACAATTCCTTATGTTCTTGATTATCAAATTATGTGATTAAAACCCATAGCACAAATGAATTAGAATACCAACTCACCACAGTATAAAGAAGTTTTTAACATGATGATGTACTCATAAAAGCTTGTGGCTGATGGAGGCCGAGACAATGGGTAGACTACGGGCTAAACATTAGAAGAAAATGATTACTGGTGAGTCAAGTGGTCAAACATCAGTACTGTTTGAATTTACATAAGATTATTTAAATATAAACAAGTGTAAACAGAGCAAAAAAAAAATTTCTCTGTGGCTTAGTGGTATTTTTGTATGTGGTTTAGGGACTACTTTCAGTGGAATGCAAAATCTTTTCAATCTCTTAGAATCCTCTTAACTAACTTCTTAGATAAAGACTGAATTTCCAACAGTTTTTTTACAATTTTCAAAGTAGATTCTTTTATTTCTGTAGCAGCAATCAGCATGTATAAAATTAAATGAAATAAAATATTTCACATGGCTTTTAAATGAGAACAAATGTAGCACCAGCACTTTACTAGATCATTACTTCTGTAATGTTTTTTTTTAAAAATGTTTAAATGTTAAAAAATATTTTTAAAAATGCAACATAGAGCTACAAACACACTCACATCTTGTCTAACATGTAAAGATGAAACAGTCAGTGAAAGGAAGTAGGCAAGCAAAAGTAAGGCTCCCACATAGAATGCAAAAATGTTCTCTGCCGTAGTAAGTTTCAATGGTATTGAAAAAACCTCAGCGTATGTTGTGGATGGTGCTGCCATCATGAACTGAAAAACATGTTAAATGTTTTTTTTTACTAGTATTCAGTGTTTGTATTTCTGTATGATCATTAGGTAAGAATAAAGATTTACTATTTTAAAAAAAAAACCATCTCAGATTGTTTAAACTGGCTCAGTAGGGACTTTTGTATAAACATTTTTGATATTTTTATAATAATTAATCTCACTGCAACTGTACAGTCACAAATTCAAAATGGAGCTACAACATAACATGCATAATCCATGCCTTGTAAAAATAAAATTTCAACAAGAAACTAATAACTATCTAGATCTATATTCACTTTGAGAAAGTCAATGGACACCAGCGAGTTGACGAGATTCCTTCCATAATGTTGTTGACATGGAATAAAAACGTGCTTTTTAGATTTAGACCGTAAAAAAAAATAAAAAATAAAAACTTAAGCCTAAAATTAATTTAGAAATTTTATATTTTTAGAATAAATGCTATAAAAGTTGCAAATCCAGAGAACTTGAAAATAATTTGTTGAGTTTAAGGCTACATTTCTATTTATTTTCATCAAGCCTAAGTTATAACCGGATGTTTCACTTTTGTAAGGCAAATATTGATTGGCTGTACAGTAACTTAGTGATCGATAACTATTTGTTTACAAAACTTTGCAGATCAAGTTTTTAAATAACAATGCAAATTTAAAACCCCATGACCTAGTTTTCTATCTATTTTTAGCTTACAATGTGTACAATAAAATTTATGGCGGCCTATCCAATAGCAGGATGCCATTGTTTATGTCACCATTACACGTGAAAACCAAATTGTTTTTGCTTTTTTTTTATTTTTATTTAGTTACCGAAAATATTAAAAACATCAAATCTTTAGTAAAGTCCGAAAAAAACCAGACAGGCAGGATTTTATAACCATATTAATTGTAACTACGCTGTGCATGATTTTTAAATTAATTTATGCACCTCTCAATTTCCTTTGAGACTTTTCTCACTGGTGTCCATTACTTTTTTCACAAAGTACCACTTCCACCCCCCACCCTCCTTTCCTGTTCACATACAAAAAATGTTCCAGTTCCCACTGTTACTTCTATTGGCGTTATGATTTTTGCGTCCTAAAAGATTTGGGAGGGGGGGGGGAATGACACAACTTATTGTTATTGACAGAAATCAAATTTGACAAGGTATGTGTCGGTAAAGTTACAGCCACGACAACACACGACCTCCTAGAACGTAGACCATCGGCCATCGGAACGTACGTTTGTGCACCGGTGATAGGGTGGGAAGGCGGTTATTGTTTTAACTGACAAAATTAGTTAAAAATTTAATTAAATAATAAGGGAATGAAGTAGATCTATATTAGGCATAAAATAATTATCGAATGCCATGTAAGAAGTAAAAGTTACCAGAATCTAGATTTAGAATCTAGACTTGGTCTAGATCTAGAATCTAGATTTTAGTCTAGGTCTATAAATTTCTTTTGTTATTGTTTAATTTTCGTGTAGGCCAAATTTTTCCAACAGCATTGCCAGGACTCTTCTGCAATTGTTAAATCAATGGGATTTTATATTTTGTAGCCATAACCGCAACTTTTGAGCAACATTCTGCCAAATTAATTTTAAAACTATGGCAACTATGTTTTTTTTTTGTTTTAAAAAATAACATTAGACCTAAGCTAAAAGTTGATAATTTCCAGGCCATCTAGATATGACATTGTCCAGTACGTCCCGGGTAGTGCGCGAATGAGCTGGCTAATGTATGAAATACGCTTTGGCCGCACTTCGGGCTTTGACCGTTACGGTCAAAGCCCAAAGTCGGCCAATGCGCGCATTGGCCAATATCGCCCCCATTGACCGGTCAAAGTCCGAAACTTTGTGTGAAATAGCTCTTGATTTCGGCCTATGGCCGGACAGTCCGTGGACTGGCCATTTTGAACCAGCCAAAGTCTGAATTAGAAGATCATCTGGCTAGGGACGACCGGCCGAATTAGAAGATCATGAGCAGATTTGGTTTTTTTTTATACCGTAAGGATCATGAAATTAGGTCTTTATTTATTATCCATTAAAGTAAATGACAGAAACATTTTTTTTTATTGTACTATAGTCTCAATCAATCAATATTATCATTTGTAACAAGTTGTACTTTTATGGCATTTAGAATTACATAGTAGCTTGTTATTTTTACACTTGCAGCGATTTGTTGTGCACTTGGTTGTGCAATTGCAGCGAGTGTAGCCTTGGCCGCCGGTCAATGATTGTGAAGATGCGATGGTTCGTAGTGATTTTTCCTAAGTGCCAACTGACGACAATAAGAGCAGTTTTTCGTGAAGAATTGAAAACTCACTTCTAGCATTCAGTTGCTTTAGAACACCATGTTCCGTTCCTAGCTTGTAGAAAGCGCCCTCGACGCTTATGACAACTGCAATGACGCCACTGGGATCACCGCGACCTCTGTCAACATCTGGTATACGGATGCGTACATTGTCAACCACTTCAGCTTGTTTAAATTTTGTATTTGATGTTTTAAGCATCTTAGCACCTTGAGTAGTATGAGCTGCTGACCTGTTGTGACACAATCTGTAGGTAATATTTCCTTCGTACCTTCGCCTGCTTCATTGGGTACTCCACAAATAGTACGGACACCGTTGCCACAGGATCCACAATAATGGGATGCACTACAATGTTTTTCATGAAGGAGACTGTCACATACAGTAAAGTTGTAGCCCATATATGGAAACTTACATGGATTTAATTTTTTTTCTTTTGACAGCCATCTGCTATGTCAGTCTCATGGTCTGACGGCCCTTTTGGTCCATGTCGCCTTACATATAGAATGCTATACAAACAAGAGCTAAACAATACGTTACTCTCAATGAAACCGCACCCAGAATAATGAAAACGCGATCACAACTTAGTCTAGATAGAACATTGGCCAGGTCATCCCGGCCAGTGCGCGCATTGGCCGGCCAATGTACAAAATACGCTCTTAGTGCTAAGTTCTTCGGCCAAGAGAGCCGGCCAACATATATATATATATATTGACCATAACATATATATATATATATATATATATATATATATATATATATATATATATATATATATATATATATATATATATATATATATATATATATATATATATATACAGTGGCGTAGCGAGGTCGGGTGTCACCCGGTGCGGCACTTAATGGTGTCACCCGGTGCGGCACTTAATGGTGTCACCCCCCAGAGGCGTTGCGACCCTTCCCGGTCCCTTCAATTTGCACCCCCCCCCCTCAAGTTTTCGTTTTGCACCCCCCCCCCCTCAAACTTTCGATTTGCACCCCCCCCCCCCTCAAGTTTTTCTCTCTATATTTTGCTATTTTTTGCCTTGGTGTCACCCCCCTAAATGGTGTCACCCGGTGCGGTCCGCACCCCCCGCCCCCCCCCCTCGCTACGCCCCTGTATATATATATATATATGTATATGCAGAGTAGCCTCTTGATTTCCATTGCATTTTTCTTAGATTACATCAATTATAATGGTATTTTTAAGAAGCATATTTTCTATCCAAAATGGTTGCTTTTGAGTTGTTGATACCAGCTGTCTCTTTCTTTTAAAATATCTCTGTCGAATCACCTTTTTATGACAGCATCCAATTTTACCATTACAACTTTAAAGCCGAACAACCATGAGGTCTAGGCTATTTATATTTATTTTTGGACAATGTATAATATTGTTGTGTTTATTAGAGGTAGAATATCACAACCTAAAGAATCAAAAATCATTTAGGCTGCATTCAGCTGCAGATATAGTTGAGGTTAAGAGTCAAGTTAGCTGAGTAGTAAGTGCCTTCCTTAGTGTAAGCTTTTAAAAGTTCTTTTTGACAAACAATAAGCTCAATATAGTTAATGCCAACAGAACTGCAAGACCATAGATTATTGACATATTTCTCTTTTAAGTACTACACATACACAATCATATATATATATATATATATATATATATATATATATATATATATATAATTATGTATATCTTTGTGTGAATACAATGGTGTATGTCTGATGAATGCTCATCACACTACATTATTATACTACCTATGTTTGCTGACTTTAGAAGCAATTGTTTTATAAATCTAAGAATATCAACATCACAAAAAATTAGAAAAAAAAAATAAACACAGGTTCTTAATTTTTTTCCAGATTTATTGTATGCAAGGATTTAGAAACTGTGGGTAAAGATGGAAAAGTAAACTTTTCAATATATTTAAATATCTTAAGGAATGAAAATAATTGATTGTGTTAGAACATTTCAAAAGGGACTCATTAGATAAAATATTGCTTCAGAGGTTTTGTGGAATAGAAAAATGAGACAAAAATAGGTGCTCAAACTTTAATACTCTTATTACATTAACAATAAGCAAAACTAATTTTGAAATAAAATATGTATACAAATAATATTCTTATATGTTTACAACCTATACATAATATTATTTAATGAATTATTTAATATTTTTATTTAATTTAATTAAGTAAAATTAATTACTTAATTTTTTTTTATATATTTATCTTAAAAAAGCTTAACATAAATTAATTTTTGTTACTTGCTTGTTTTTAATCATTATAAAAATGTTAAAAGTTATTTTTCTTCTATTAGTTAATTTCTTACATAGCAGAATGTTTACACGAAAAAAATATTTATATATCACTTTTATAAAAATAAAAATATTGTGTACGGAATTTATAATAGTAAACAAAACCAAAGCTTGATTTTAGTGAGGACAGCTGTAAGAGGTACCCGAACTTGATGAGGCGTATTGAGTCGGATCAAAAGTAACTTTCTCTGCTGTACCAGTGGTGAGAGTTGCTGACATAACACAAGATTTTATACTGCTAGAAGTCACTATACCTAGTGCCCCAACAGCTTCTGGAATAAAAAAAAATGTCAGAGATTATTGAGATAAAAGGTCTTGATATAAGTGATTTAAATCTAATTTTTCTAATATTTTGCATGATATATTTTTATACATTCTATTTTTAATACGGCTTTTCTCCAATTAATAAAATTGCATTTGTTCCTTTAAAAACAATTATATTTGATTTTGTACCTGGTAAACCAGCAATGTAAAACTGTGCATCTGTAATCCCTAGCAGTGCATTGCTAACAGGTATCACTCGAGAAGGTCTGCTTACGTTGTCAACTAATTCAAAATAAAAACAAAAACAGCTGCTATAAAAACTATTCAAATTGATGATTAGATTTTAGTACGTTCAAAATTATTACAATAAATACTTAACTGAATGAAAAAGCTACCTTAAAAAATTAATCACAAGTTTAGTTAATGGATTGGTTGTTTTTGAATAATGTAAAATTAAACTTGTATTTTGTGCACCTGTGAGAGTTGCCAGGCTGTTATCAATCTCAATCTTGATGTTATGAATCATTCCATCACAGAGCCTGACAGATGTATCCAGTGTTAGTGTCAGAGGTGTGGTTATACCAGGGTAAGAAGGAGACAGGTGTAGTTTCAGCTGTTATTAACAAAATAAAAAAGAAAATTGAAATTCATTTGTTCATGTCATATATGAATAAACATTTCAAAGGGATTACAGTTTTAAAAATGCAAGTTTAAATATTAATTAATTTTTTTTTATATTTAATATTTTTACATTTTGCATTTGACAAATACAATTTTTTTATTAATAACTTTTTAATATATAGGTGTGATAAAAATAAATTGTAAGATTTTAATTATTCTTAAAACCGATACAAAATTACTTAGTTTTAATATTAAGGCCTAGATATTTAGTCCATATTATATCTTCCAAAATTATTATTAAAAATATATGTTTGAATAACCAAGCATAAATTATATTCTTGAAATTATTGAATAAATGATAAGCTTAAAACTTAACCTGATTGCTTTTTACATCAACAGCTACAAATTTGCCATCTTTAAACAAAGCAAAGAGTAAACCAGACTCAGATATGGTTGTCATGGTAACCTCTATGGTTAAACTGGTGTTGATGGTGTAGGTTCCTAGTGATGGGATAATTACGATTTTAATTTTAAACCCCAGCAATATTATAGTGAAGATTGTATGATATAGGATTGTCTAACTAGCCAATGGAGACTATATTTACAATTATTATAAACTATTTATGTTAGTTATCATTGATTCAAGTATAGGCCATAACAAACATTTCTGAAATATGATGTTTATTTTTTAGATGAAATAGTGTTCCAGAATGCAAATTTGTGAGAAAATAAAGACAGAGTAAAGAAATTAAATCCTAAACTCTTTTCCATTTTACACAGAGAAAAATATTTTAGCTTATAAAGAGAATATAGTTCATATTCAATTGGTTAACTTAAACATGTAGAACAAGGAACCATAAAAAAAAAAAGTCTTTATAAATGTACCTAGTCCTAGATAAGAGTTAACTCCAGATAAGGAAATCCCATAGTAAACAGCAGCGGGAATGGCTGGAAACTTGGTACGATCCAGAGACCTATGCATTGAAAAATTGACTTCTTATGAGTTACTGCCATAGAAGCAAACTTAGATAAATTGTAACTGATTATCAAAATAAAAACTTAACTGTATACATTTAAAAAAAAATGTATAACCATAAATAAATAAATTAAGTAGGCTTACCACTTAAATCAGAGTGCTTAAGTTATGTTAACTAATAAATTATAATATTAATCAAACTTACATGATTGGCAATGCTATTTCTGCAGTTGTTTTGAGTTTAACAGCATATAATGCACCAGCAAAAGAAACTTTGGATTGCTATATCAATTATACGGGAGCATTAAATAATCAATGTTTGGAATGTAAGCGAAGACATTAAGGTAGTTCACATAATTGCATTAAAGTTAACTGTGAACAATTAAAATGTAATCATAAAAACTATTTTAAAAAATAGACATATGCAATAAAAGGGGAGTTACCTGTAAAATGAATGCCCGTGGTAAAGGAGAATTAGGCAGTACATTTGGTCCAATGTTCCCTATAAATACACCAGAAGATGTAGGGAATGTTAAGGATGATGTGATATTTGGTGATGCACCAGAGTTGATGTAATTCTTTAAAGGCCCAGCCACAGCAAGAAAATCATTGCTTTTCAAGACAGTTAACTGAAATTTAGAACACAAAATATTCAAATATAATGATAACAAATAAATAAATTAATAAATGTTTTACCAGATAAAACCTGGTGATTATTTATAACATTCTTACAAAGATAGATTTGAATATTTAACTTAAAATATTAGTTAAGGATATTGTATGTTTTATAAAAGAAAAATATGACATCTTTTAAATGGAAAACACAAACCATTTAAAAAAAATATCAGGTTATATTTTTATTTCAAATAGTTGTAAATCCTTAATTTTATTTTAAGTAATTGTAAATCCTAACTTTCATTTATCAAACATACCCGTGCCAATAGTGTCAAACATAAATACCAAAAATTTAGAAAAAATAATGACAAAAGTCAAAGGTATTGCTTTCTACCACTCAACTCTACTAAACTATCACAAAAGATAAACCACCTTCCCATTCCTTTATAATATATAATGAGTGTGCAATAATTCTATTTATAATTAAACAATAATAAATACTAACACTGTATCTCTTGGCATCATTAAACGACTCTTCAACTTGAAGATCATAGGAATTAAGGGATGTTTTCATGGCAACATGGAATTTCCCATTCATCACATAGATAATAAAATAATATGTCGGGTTGTTAGTCATATCAGCAACATACAATATCACACCATCTGCCTTGTAGATTGCAAAATCAATATCTAGGCTAAACCTGTTCAGGGAGACAAGTTTAATTAAATAAAGTTAATTAAACAGGGGAGCTCAGGTCTTAAATATATATATATATATATATATATATATATATATATATAATGCTAGATGGAATCTTAAGTGATGATAAACAAAAACTAAAATTGCAAAACTAAAAATCACAGAAAACAAAACTTTATTTGAAAGAACTAACTTACAAAAAAAAACAATTATTTATAGAATTACTTTTAAATAGATTATCATTTTATTTTCAGGAATATAAATGACAATTATGAACTATAATAATTCTACATAAAGATTCTATATAAAAAAATAATTCTATGAACCATCCTCATTTTCTGGAACAAACGTCCCTCATTTCAAACAAATTTAGTAAATAAATGTAATAACAAATATCTATTGCTCCACTACATCCTGTGTAGCCTACTACAACTTACATTCCTTCAAACAGCTCTAGGAGATTTGGGTTGGCTCCCAGACCTGACCAGTTGATTTCATTAGCCCCAGACATTAGAATTCCTTCACTCAGGGACAGGTAAGCTGGATTTGGTGCAGGGGCGCAGGTGTATGGTGTGGGTGTGGCTACAGGTGGGGCAGGTGTGGCACTCAGAGTTCCCTGTACACCAGCCAGAGACACGTCCTTGCTGCTGATGATGCTGCTTTGGTGTAAGTCTACAGGACTGAAACAGTTCAATAGTAAATTTGTTACTTTAATTCTGTTAAAAGAAAATTATAAATGTGTGCCATAATTTTTGTTGAATAAACTAATTTGTTATAAAAAGTATTTTTATACATAAATATACACTTGATGTTTAGTAATTTTATATATATATATATATATATATATATATATATATATATATATATATATAAAAGGTTTTTTCTAAAAACAAAATAATTTAGGCAAATAACATTTTAATAATATTGCTGCAGAAAATATTTTACTTATCTGAGGTAGGGCTTATAGGCTACACTAAAAATCATTTTAAAAAGTTAGTTATATATAACTAAACACATATATGCTAATACATAATACTAAACAGCAGTACTCTTTTTAATAATAGTTTTCTCAAAAACAATAGCTCATCAACATAAAAAAATTATTTACATATAAGAAAACAAATAAGAAACAAATATTTTTAAAATGCTGCGTAACTAACTTGTTATTTATCAGAAGTTTGGTTATTCCTCCAGCAGCAGACTGTGTGACTGGACACTGTGGGGGAAGTGTCGTCCCTTCTGGCACACCCCCAAGATACAGGGCAACATTAGCAGGGAATGTCAGGTAGCTGACACTCAGTGTTTGGGATGTGTCCTCAAACACAATGTTATCAATTCTCACAGAAACCCTGGGGAGGGAAAAATGTTTTTTTTGGTACACGCTTGTACACGAAAGTCCAAATAAATAACGCAACTTACAATGTGTAAAATTTTGTTAAATTTTCTTCCTATAGTACATTTTAGTATAGTGGTAGCAGTTCAAAATTTACTTGAAAATGGAAACTTAAGCGTTATTTCACTATTATAGAAGTAATAAAATGACAATAAAATTTGTTTGCTATTTTAGTATTTGTAAAAGATACAGTTTATTTGTCTCATTATTATTATTACCTTAATGTAGTACAGTCCAGAACTATGGTGTGTTGCTGACCATCACTGATGTAGTTATTTGCACTGACCACTGTGGAGGTTTCATTTTGTCGATAGACCAAGACAACATTTCCCCCAAACACGGCCAGGTACAGGAAGCGAAGCTGAGTCAAAAATATTTTTAGAAAGTTTATTTTATATGCATCGTCTTCAGTTTATATTATTTTTCCAAACTAGACACTGCTTTGGACTGTTGATACAAATGTAGGATATAAATAAGTATATAATTTAAAAACTAGCTTAAAACAACTTAAATAAAACAGTACATTTATTAATAATATTAAAAACATTAGTTTAAAAAATAAAATACTAACAGAATCTGAGGCATAAATATATAAAAGTACAGCATTAGGCTCTTGTGTGACTATAGTCATTTCCAATTTATTAATCTGTTGTAAAGGGTCTTTGACTTGCAACTGGGCATAGGACATCTCTGTGGTAAAACTTAGTCCACTGACTACCTAAAAAAATAAAAAATAATTAATTTATTAATCAGTTTAAAAAAAAACAACTAGTTATAAACTAATAAAAAACATTATTTGATTTTCTTTACAGAACTTTTAACCAATACTGTGTACAAGCTGAATTCTTTTTTGTGGAATTTATGTGATTGGAGAACAAGTAGGCCTATAGAGAAATATGAATATGTAGTAATCTTATTTGTGGAATTTATGTGATTAGTGAACAAGTAGGACTGTAGTGAAATATGAATATGTCATAATTATAACAATATATTAATGCATGCTGGTTTCTAAGGTCTACAGTATTTATCTGGCCTCATTGATATAACAGTTGTGTAACCACTGTAAGACTCATCAAATTTGTTAAAGTCTATTTTAAAACTGATAATTTTATCATTTAGGAACCCCTTCACATTTTTTAATAAAATCAAATGATCTTTAACTTTTATGATTTCTAAACTCATATACCTATTTTAAAAAAAAACTACACTGGATTTTTGTTCAAATAAAAATAATAAATGAAAAAACATGAATTACAGAGTGAAGAAACAATAAGTTACTGACATTTTCATAACATCCGCTAGTGCTGATACCAGCGGAGTATGTGACGTTGTCCACGAAGTTTGGTCGTATTGTCGTTGACGTGCTACTGAGGGACACATTTCTCATACAGCCAGCAAAGATTGAATTTCTGATGAAAATAATTTCATAACCTTTTAAGTAGGCGTAGCTAGCAGAAGATGCATGATTAAGGTTATGGTTATTGATAAAAATGAATGTGATGTTTACTGTGGTTATTTTTAAATATTTGTATTGAGAACATGTTTTAATACAATTTTTATAGTTTGGGAATTCATATTTGGCCAAATGTTATCACTTTATGAACAAAATAGTAGGTAACAATGAAAGTAAACTTTCAATAAAAAAATATTTTATTTAATAAATTTTAACTAGTTATTTTAACTACTGACCTATTATTTAAATTGACAGTATTGGAGCCAAATAAAATACTCATGTCATTCAAGGGGGTCAAGTTCAATGGGAAAGTAACTGTATAGTTGTCGACATTTAAACTACTTGGGTCATCCAAATACCGGACTGACAACTTCAGATTTTGCTGTTCTCTTGTTGTTAGGACCTGTGGCAAAAAAATTGTCTCAATATTAAACTTATTCAGTGAAAATCTTTCTTAGAGACTTAAAACAGGTGTTTTTGATTGATTTTTCTCACAGGTAATGATGAGATTTTACCTGAGCCCACCTTCCAGTTGCATATGGCATCTGACTCTGCAACCTAATTTGAACTCCGTCGACATTGATGACCCACACAACCAGACCAGAATCAATCAGCACAGAGTAAACTGTTCTGCCGTCCGCTGAAGAAATTGAAAGCATGGTAGCCGAGGTGGAGAACGTCCGGAATTCTAAGCTGACCTGCATGATGTCAGACAAGACCAGAGTCCCAGGTGAGAATGTGATGTACCCAAACCCGGAGAAAGATATTCCTGGAACTGTTGGGGTGGAGGGTAGAGCAGGGGGACTCTGGCAGCAGGTGCGGGAGCTTGTTCCTGATGACTGCGTGACCCACAGGTTGATTTCCTGACTTTGGTACACCAGGTTGTCCAGGCAGCCCTTAAAACTTCGATCTCTCACTTTACTAGTCTGGGAATGTGAAAATGTCTCATGAAATTTTCCCACAAAAATTTGGGTAAACTGATAAGATAGAAAGTTAAGTAAACATTCATATCCTAAGAAACATGCAATTATAATAATTTGGTTGTTTTTTGTTGATTGTGTTTTCCTTTACCAATAAATTCTAATATCTACTGATAATCTATATTATTATTTACTTGAACATTTTATGTTATGCATTACATAAAACAGAATTCTGACCTCCTTTGTATCTGGAAGTGAACCAATAAAAAGAGCAGAGTTCAAGGTAATTTCTCGGGCTAATGAGTTATCAGGTGCAGTAACACTGTCAGATACTAGTCCTCCAGTTGACAACAATGTTACAGCAAGATGACCTACATTTGCATATCTGGTCCAAATATCAAACATATCATTAATTCATGTCAGGCACTTTGCATAGCTAAACAAACACCTAATAGATGGTTGATTACAAGTCCAGTAAAAAAGTAATTGTTATCAACATTGTGGCCCCATCATTAATTCATTTGAGGCACTAGGTTTAACTAAGCAAACATAATTGCTGGTTAATAAAAAGTCCAGTTTAAAATTTTGTATCAACCTTGTGGCAGAGAGCCTAACCCAACAATCATCACAGCCAGCAAAACGACTTGGAACCCTGACATTCTGTACTCCAGTGCTGAACTCAAAATACAGTGTATCATTGGCTACACCTAGTTGCAGCTCTGCTCCTAAAGTGAATAAAAAGAATGTAAGACTGTAAAATTTAAAAAAAAAGCAACATAGGGTCAATTTATAGAGATCCTGATTAAGATGTTAGTCTTATATCTGAGTCACAGAATCAAGTCTGTGGAACATCTCTGTAGCCACACTTCTGACTAGTCTGAGAAACTTAAGAAACTAAAGGCAGCTTGGTATAGTCATCATCATTCCTTCTGGTTCCTTCAGGAGTATACAACTTAACTCAGAGCTTTTCACTGCCCCCAGGCACAATTTTTCAGCCTCATCCAGCATGATGCTGATGATGTGTTGTCATCTTCTCTTGGGTTGACCACTGCTTGCCTTGAGGGTTCCACTCTAGCCCTGTTGCAGTCTGATGTTAGTATACTTTCTAAGCAGGTGGCCAATACTTCACCTTTTTCTTTCCATGATTTGCATTTCTATTATTTTCTGTCGACACATCTCAATAGTTTTTTGTTTTCTATCTTCTCATGCCACTGTATTTTTTATTTATTCCTTTGGCATAGAGATTAGCACAAATGCTGAGATTAAAGAAACAGATGAACTCTACTTCATTTTTAAAATGTATATATTAGTCCAAAAGGGTGTTTTTTAAAATTTAGTTAAAAAAGATCACAACGGCAAGGTTAAATATTAAAAAGTTGTAAAATAAAAACTGAAGATTTACAAAAGATCTGTATATTAAATTGTTTAATTTGAGCCTACCTGATGATGGGTTATCCACATAAAAGAAAACACCATTGCTGAAGTTTGAAGGTTTTCTCAAATCTACAACAATGTCATCAAACACTCGCTGAACATTGTTTCCAGGGTTGACAATTTGCAGGCCGAGGTTCCCATCAAAAGTGACAGGCTGGCGCAACTTGGCCAGGGCTGCTTCAGCCATTTCCATTTTCTTTTTTAAAACTGCAATCTTGCTTTCAATGTCTTTGGTCGTCTGGTCTGTAGCTTGCAACAGGGAACTAGCAGACGTCATGTTTTGTTTGAACACATTTAGATTGGAGTCTTGGTTTATCACTAGGAATACAAAAAAACAAGATGATTTAGTAGTGTAACCATTTTAATAAATTACTATCAATAGTATCAACTCTTAAAAAGAAAGAAAAATCAAATTATTATTTTGGGAAATACATTTTTTTATTTTATTATCAAACCATTTTGCTATTTTCTAATATTGTTTTTTTAAAAGCAAGTTAATCATAATAATAAACTTTGGTAATACAATTAAAATGACAGATTGAATAATTCCATGCATAACACAACTCACATCGCTGTTCAAGTGATTTCTGCAAGTCAAGGGCTCTATCAGTCTGATTGTAAAGTGTATCAATGTCCCCCTGTTTCTGGTTGAGGACATTGTCCTGGCTAGCAGCACTGGAGGCGGCTGTTTGCACCACAGTGGCGGCCTCTTGTAGTTTACTGGCTGCGTCTGACAGTTGGCCAGCTGCTGGGCTGTCTAGAGAGGTAATACACAGTTTGTTATATGACTGGACATGTTATACAGTTTGTTACATGACTGGACATGTTATACACAGTTTGTTGTATGACTGGACATGTTATACACAGTTTGTTGTATGACTGGACATGTTATACACAGTTTGTTGTTATATGACTGGACATGTTAAACAGTTTGTTGCTACATGACTGGACATGAGATGTTATACACAGTTTTACCATCTTGTTTAGCACACTCAATTAACAATTAATTACACTTTAAGAAACTTAATTTATTACAAAAGAACCTTTTACCTGACCCAATTCTTGAGCTTAGCCTGGAGATTAATCTTAACCTTGTCTCTGCCAACAACACTGGCAGGTAAAATTCACCTATACAACAACTCATGGCCCAGCCAGCAGAAAATGGAATTACTACTTTGTTTTCTACAGCTTACAATAAATTATTTGCAAGCAACATGTCTGTTTAGTATGAGTCACCTTTGTAAAGAGTGTTCAAGCCTTGGGCAGCAGTTATCATAGCGTCCAGCTCCACAACAGCAGGTGACCACTGGGCAAGCTCATTGTTGATCCTGTTGGCTGCAGTGCTGACTCCATTCTGTAGAACTATATAAAAAACTTGCATGTTTCAATATTGAAGCTTACCACTAGGTAGGACTTTAAACAAGTAAACACACTGATGCATTGTGTATACATAAAATAACAGCTAAAAAGGAATAAAATTATAAATTCATTTAATATCTAGTCCTACATCCTTTAAATATATTTTTAAACAGAACAATGGCACAAACATCTTAATTTTGTTATAACCTATTATAACCAATTATGGGCACAATTTTTTTTCTTTAACTAACACCTTCTTCCTTAATTATTGTTTTTATTATATAAGAAAACAATCCTTACCCTGAGCTTTTTTTAAATTATTGTTTTTATTTTATAAACAACAGTCCTTATCCTGAGTTCTTTTTTAATTATTGTTTTTATTATATAAACAACAATCCTAACCCTGAGCTATTCTTTAATTATTGTTTTTATTCTATAAGAAAACAATCCTTACCCTGAGTTTGAAAATCAACAGCCATGACATAATTTCTGAGTGTCTCACTACTATTCCTCTCAGCCTCAAACTCTGCCCTCATCCTGTCGACCAGCTCTGATGTGATGTTTCCCTGAATGAGCAGGACAAGCTGGTCAGCTGACTGTATCATTGAGACAGCGCTGTCCAAGTTTTGTGTTGCTGTGTTGAAGTCATCAATGATTTGTACCGCAGCTTTACCTAGAGTAGAGATGTTCTGGTATGTCCTGGGGATTACAAAATGTTCATTGTGTGAAATAAACTCAATCTATTTTCTTTTAACGTAGTGCTTTAAATTTGATAAGGGAAGGAGTTGTTGGGAAGAAGAGCGCTGTACAGTTCGCCTGAAAGTCTCAGGTTTGAACCCTGGGCTTGTGTCTGTAGGAAATCATTGAGTTCATCTAGCTCTGATAATTCCTTTTACAATAAAAATGTAAATTACTGTTATTGTTTTCATATTATCTTTTGTTTGTTTTAAAAACTAGAATAGAAAAGGTATTCAAGCTCTAATATGAGCTTTCAGATCTAATGATCCATAGAGCAGATGAAAGGAGTTTACCTTTCATCAAGAACAGAGATCAAGACATTAGGGTCGGCGGTCTTGTGTTCTGTCCCTTGACCGCCTCACCAGAGCTATACCTGTGAGGCAACTAACCCACCTGTTTATTTCACTGTAGGATATTTCCAGGGCTGTGACCAACTAACCCACCTGTTTATTTCACTGTAGGATATTTCCAGGGCTGTGACATGAGCCTCTGCTTGGGTGACAGCCAGCGCGGTCTTGTCTATCAAGGGTGGGGTGGACTCCAAAGAGTTTCTCAGCGTCAAGTTGCCAGTGACTATATTACTCACACCTGTCAATATTCAATCATACATGCCAGTGACTATATTATCACGCCTGTCAATATTCAATCATACATTTCAGGACCATGTAGGTAGTTAAAAGAAGAGGGGGAGGACAATTCCACTAAAGGGCCCCAGTTTGTTGATTTTAGTTTAATAATAGACTACCATTCAATGTATTACTTTATTTTAAAAAGTATTAATCTCTCAAAGCTGCCATGAATATATGGCAGATGTACTTATTACTGAAAGGTGAAAGATGGCAGATGTACTTATTACTGAAAGGTGAAAGATGGCAGATGTACTTATTACTGAAAGGTGAAAGATGGCAGATGTACTTATTACTGAAAGGTAAAAGAAAGGATAGTCCTTGAACATAGTCCTTGGAACAGTACATTAGAGTTTAAAAAGGCATGTTTAGCTCAATGATTAGGTAACTTATTGTGCTATCCTTAATTAATAATAAACATAATTTCCAACAGGCAAGAATTTTCATTGTTAAGCTATGTTAAAGAATATAGTATTACTTGAATGAAAGATAGTTTAATAGCAACATTATTATAAAGGCTACCTATAGGAAATTGGCGATTATCTCCCCATGACATAACAGAAGCTGCATTAGCACTATAAATAGTTTCTGCATTACTGGCTGACTTTTTGGCAGCAGTGAAATTTGAACTCATGTCAGCATATTTCATGTCAGCTGTGTTCAAGACATCACTGACAGACCTGTTCACATCATCAGCTTGAGATTTAAACACCTGCAACACAACATCTGGAAAACTGACTTTGAATTACAAATCTAAATTTTTTTAAATGGTATTAAAGTGGGATTTCGCTAGGCAAATAGATATAGTGGTCATCTCAAAAAACTCATGGTAACAAAAAACTGAGGCAAAACCAAATAAGAGAGGCCATCTGGAAAGGTTGGTTCAGTGATCAGAGCTCTGAAGAATTGTATATACTTATGTAAATTAAAAAATAAATTTTATATATATATATATATATATATATATATATATATATATATATATATATATATATATATATATATATATATATATATATATATATATATATATATATATATATATATATATATATATATATATCAATTGAAAATATGAAATGAAAAACTTACATTAGCCTGAGCTAGGGTGTTCTCCACAGAGGAAGTGGAAAAATCTAAAGTATCCAATACAGAAGATAAGTTTGAAACTGCAAGAGACTTGGCATCCAGATCAGCACTTAAGCTTATCATTGAAGAACTCATATTTGCTATTGTAGTGGCCTAAAATTGAGAACTCTGCTTAGTATGTTGTATTAGATGCACCCTGATCATACAATTACTTTATGTCTTGATAGCAGTCTCATTTATTAGACACGCTACTGGCTCAATGTCAATCTGAACTTAACAATTATTACACCCAAAGGTTAAACACATTTATAGACTCCGTTAAGCCATTACTTTTTATTAGTAGAATTTTTGGAAGCTGAATAAACAAATACTGAAATAGATTTGGTTTAAAAATAAAACACCTTCTTTAATTCCTACAGTGACACTGATCTTTTATTGCATGTTTCTTGAAGTCCCAATTTAAAAGGAAATGTATATTTGTGGCCTACTACTGTTAACTTAGTAAAAGGTAATCCATGGGAAAATGTTTAATGGAATGTTCAATCATGACAGTAATGGTCTAGCAGTAGAGAGTTAAACTGCTAACCCAAGAGTCTCGAGTTCAAAACCGGGTTCAAATAAGTGGGTTATCCCTGAGTCCTTCCACATCTGATGAGTACCGAACTCACATTACGGAAACAAAGGCGACTGGACATAGTGCTGACCATGCTATCCCTTCATATGCCAAGGCATCTGAAGCAGATGAACTTCATCTGCTCGACGTGTCTTGGGCACGAACAGGAAATGATGATGACATTATTATTAATGTTAATTTAGATTACAATTTTTTTGATACAATGTTTTGAGGAAAAGTAATTATCAAACACAAAATTTGTTTGTGATTTTACACTGAAATTTTAAAGCATGAAAAAAGATACCTGTTTATAAATGATGTTGTTAGTATTTGCCATGATGCCTGTGTCCTGTACAGTAGCTAGGAGGGAGGTGGCCAGGCTAAGTTCAGGTTGAAAGGTCAGGGCTAAATCTTCAGTGCTGTTGCCTCTTACACTCAAATACTGTAAGCAAAACATGTCAAGCATCTTATCCCACATACCAGTTAAATGTACACAAAACAAATAACAGAAAATTATATAGTAATATGTTTGTACTGGTTTGTAGGGGACAGTGTGGTCTTGTGGTAGAGGGCACAATTGCTGACCCCAAATTCCCAAGTTCTGACCTCAGGCAGGTCAGGCTTGTTAGGCTGGTGAAATTAACCCATCTAGGAGAGAAAACTCCGGAATCAAACAACTTGCACTGCAGGTGTTTTTGGATAAGCCAAGGCTTAGAGGCACATCCAGAAAGAAAAGCAGGCTTAAATTGGAGTCAACTGGCTTAATGCCGATCAAAACATGTTGACGCATGTAATAATTATGTTCAAAGAAAATCGTTTCTAATATTACAACTAAGAATAGAGAAGAGGAGAATTAGTATAGTTACTTACCAGAGAAGCAGTTTGGTTGTAGGCATCAAAGACACCCAGATTTTTAGAGAGAAGCTGGTCAACTGCTGCTGAATCACTTGACAGATTTGTGGCTTGATCCTTCAGAGCACTAAACCTGGACACTTCCATTTCACTTCTGTTCTTGGATGTTGAGGTAGAATTCACTAGAGATGAAACCTGAGAAGTCAAAAAAATTGTTTAGGGTTAGTATTTTCTTTAATATCTAGAAATTTATCAGCTGGTTTCAAACATTAGGTTATTGAAGCTGTGCAGCCTGCTAACATTGATTGCTTTTTAAACAGAAAAGTAATAATCCTCTTTCAGGAGGCTATCAACAATTATTAGCTGTTGTTGTATTTAGGATTCAGATGTCAACAAACTAGGCAATAAATACAGCTAATAGTTTTCTATTTAAACTAGAATCAGATGACAATTCTAAAAGCTATAAAGTGTAAAAGGTAAACAAAAAATGGTATAATGTTTTGAATTCTAAAAAAAATGAAACAATTATCCTAATTTTTTAATGTATTACTACTGAATTCCTCTGTATTTTTAACATCTCTGGGAACATAAGTATCTGTTATTTCCCTTGATAAAATTGAATTTTAAAATGGGAAGTAACTAGCAAAAATCTTTGACAACAATTCAAACTATTTTTCAGCATCACAATGTGTCTAAACATAAAAGCACCTTAGTTTATTATGGCAGGCATTTAATTTTATATTTCCAACTAAAGTTTGAGAATATAAAATAAATTACTTATTATAAAGAGACAGTTATATATTTTTTAAATGACAGCTGAACTTTGTAAAAAAATGAAAAGGTGGATTGGTCATTTTAGGACAGCCTTCATTACCAAGGCAACAGCTTAAAATGTAAGTCAAGCAACAACCTACTGTAAGATGTTTATATCTTTCAAAATGATTGTAAAAATGTAAAGATCAAGCTTTTCAAAGTAGTTTTTATAGTTTATTTAAATAATTTTTTTTTTAAAGTTAGATCTTCTGCCATTCGAGCTGCATTCCAGAAAAAAACAGTGGTTGTCTGACTGCAGATGTTTTGAACTGCTAACTGGCTGAAACTTCCATGGATTGTACCATCCCAATAATCAGGTAAATGAAAACATTTGATGATACATCGCAAACATTAAAAGTTAGCTATTGTAATTTTTTTCCTGTAGAGTTCTCAAAGCTTTTTGCACCTCATGCCAGCATACCCCTTAGAGAGTCAAACTTCCCCAGGGGAAGGAACCCACATCACAGTTTGGAAACAGCAGATTTACATTAACCAATGTGATGAGAATTTCAACTCTGCAGTGAAAACTTTTTAGAATGAATAAGTAAAGTAACGTTCCCTTTTCAAACCTGACGGTCTATAGGGCAAGTGAAGTAGAGTTCACTTGTTTCTGTGACCTCGGCATATGAAGAGATAGTGTGGTCAGCTCTATGCCCAGACGCCTTTACTTTCCCTAACGTGTGTTAGGTACCCATCAGAGTTGGGTGGACTCAGGGACGGTCTACTGATTTGAACCCGTATTTGAACTCGAGACTTACGGGTTAGCAGTCCAGCTCTCTAACGCTAGACCACTTCATCCCTTTTAGAATGAGTACTAGATCACAATGAATCCAGATGACATCACAAGAGTGGCGCCTAACTGGATGTCTCAAGGAAAAAGAAAACAGGGAAGGCCAAGTGAGACGTTGGGGATCACAGCAGAATAGCAACTGTCAAAGGCAGGACTATCTTGGGGGACTGCCAAGAAAATTACAAGAGAACGACAAAAGTGGAAAGAGCTTTCTGTGGCGGCCCCATATGTCATGGGTACAAAAGAGAAAAGATGACTAGATAACTTGAAGTATGTATTGTGGCCCATGATGTGGCCAACTTGCTTAAAATGTAAACAAGTGAGGATATTGTGAGGTAACAGAATTATAACTGTTAACATTTTTAAACATTTAAAAAAAAATAATTTTTGCTTTTATAACTTTTTGTTCATATTGATTTTTATATTTAAAAAAAAACTTTGTTCAATAAAATCTTGAAAAAAAATCAATTGAATGATAATTGTTAATAATAATATTACGTCCTATCATTAGCTTCTTCCATGATAAAGCCTTATAAAAAAAACCCACAATTTTAAGATTCATGATTTATTTGCTATTCTAACCATAAGCTCCGCAATATGTGTACCATTCTAACCTTATGCTCCAGGATTTATTTGCTATTCTAACCACAAGCTCCACAATATATGTACCATTCTAACCTTAAGCTCCACAATGTGTGTACCATTCTAACCTTAAGCTCCACAATATATGTACCATTCTAACCTTAAGCTCCACAATGTGTGTACCATTCTAACCTTAAGCTCCACAATGTGTGTACCATTCTAACCTTAAGCTCCACAATGTGTGTACTATTCTAACCTTAAGCTCCAGGATTTGTGTACTATTCTAACCTTAAGCTCCAGGATTAGTGTGCCATTCTAACCTTAAGCTCCAGGATTTGCGTGCCATTCTCCAGCAAACTCCGCTGACCATCTACTGAGCTAATGACCTCAGTGATGGATGATTTGTTGCTCCCAGCCAGCCCTAGAAGGTTCAAGCTTTGGTTGAGTTTAGCCGTCAAAACCTGCAAGGTTGGGTCCTCCAGCTGCACATTCAAGGCAAGCATGGTCTTGTTGAGCACACTGTTGGCAGCTCCTGACAGCAGCTGGATGTCCTGACCCAGGGATCTCTGACAAGGACCACATTCTGGCAAAAACAGATGGAAAGATAAGGATTTGGGGTGGAGTTTGGTGTGGAGGTACATGACAAAAACAGATGGAAAGATAAGGATTTGGGGTGGAGTTTGGTGTGGAGGTACATGACAAAAACAGATGGAAAGATAAGGATTTGGGGTGGAGTTTGGTGTGGAGGTACATGACAAAAACAGATGGAAAGATAAGGATTTGGGGTGGAGTTTGGTGTGGAGGTACATGACAAAAACAGATGGAAAGATAAGAATTTGGGGTGGAGTTTGGTGTGGAGGTACATGACAAAAACAGATGGAAAGATAAGAATTTGGGGTGGGGTTTGGTGTGGAGGTACATGACAAAATGAATTTAAAGATAAGAAGTAGGTTGAAATTTGATAAGGCTGGGCCTGGCAAAATAAATACTAAAATAAGGATTAGGATTTAAATTTGTGAGGCTAAATAGAAAAATGTGAATAAAGGATTAAATATGATGTGGCTGAGCTTACAACAACAAGACAAAGGACCCTGAGTTTGAACAATAGTGAGATTCTGGACACCTGCTTGCCTGTATAATTTCTTTAAATTTACCTAACACAAACAGTGGAAATGATGCTAACCAATATAAACAGAGGTCAAACTGCTACCTTATGGTAAAGATACTATCATTTAAACAGAACCCTAAAAAAACAGAGAAAAAGATGCTACTTCATATAAATTCAGGAAAAGACTGGAAAAACAATTCTTTTGATAAGCTGCATACTTAAAAATAGATAAACTTGAACTCATCAGCAAGTCTAAAATAGTAATTTACAAAAGTTTGTTTCCTTTCTTTTAAAAGCCAGCAATCATTCCTCCAACTTTTAAGCACTAGTGTGAGAACTGGTCTTACCTTGGCACCCAGCACTTGTGAAGTTAACATAGAGGGGCAGGCACTGGTCACACTGTCGACCACCCACACCAGGCTGACACTGGCACTGACCAGTTGTCTTGTTACACCCTGACCCAGGTACGGAGCCAGTAACATTACAACCACATGCTGAAATATAAATACAGTAACATTACAATCACAAGCTGCAATATAAATACAGTAACATTACGATCACAAGCTGAAATATAAATACAGTAACATTACAACCACAAGCTGAAATATAAATACAGTAACATTACAATCACAAGCTGCAATATAAATACAGTAACATTACTATCAAAAGTTGAAATATAGTAACATTACAATCACAAGCTGCAATATAAATACAGTAACATTACTATCAAAAGTTGAAATATAGTAACATTACAATCACAAGCTGAAATATAAATACAGTAACATTACTATCAAAAGTTGAAATATAGTAACATTACAACCACAAGCTGAAATATAAATACAGTAACATTACAACCACATGCTCAAATATAAATATAGTAACATTACAACCACATGCTGAAATATAAATACAGTAACATTACAACCACATGCTGAAATATAAATATAGTAACATTACAACCACATGCTGAAATATAAATACAGTAACATTACAATCACAAGCTGCAATATAAATACAGTAACATTACTATCAAAAGTTGAAATATAGTAACATTACAATCACAAGCTGAAATATAGTAACATTACAACCACAAGCTGAAATATAAATACAGTAACATTAAAATCACAAGACTAAATATAGTAACATTAAAATCACAAGATGAAATATAAAAACTAACATTACTATCACAAGCTGAAATATAAATACAGTAGTATTACAACCACAAGCTGAAATATGAAAACAATTAGCAAGCTAAAAACCCTACAATCACAAGGGGACAACTATAAAGAATGTTACATTACAAAAATATTCATTTTTAATAGAAATTTTCTCCATTTACATGTCAAACAAAAATTATATCAAATTTAATCTGAAGTTTTAATATTTTTTTAACATAAGATAAGTTAAAAAAGTAAATTGTTCCTTCCTACCCTGACATGGTAGAGTAGGCAAACCATAATAGCCCTCTACACACTGGTTACAGTGTGTGCCAGTAGTGTAGTTCCTACAGGAACACTGACCAGTTGTGTTGTCACACTGTGCATTTAAACTTCCAGCTTCTAGACAGCCACAGAACTGACACCCTGGTGATGTTAGAGGGGAAATATTATCATGTCAGAGGTTTAGTCTGATAAACATATGGTCTAGTTTTACAGTTCTCTGGTAGTCTGAGGTCTAGTTTTAACAGTTCTCAGATAGTCTTTTTTTTCTTCTTCTTTGTTCTTAATTTTAGAGTTGAAAGGGATTCCCTCCAAAATAATTAAGTATACATGTCAACTGTTTATACGCCTTATAGGCTGTTGACAACTATTTCAGCCTGCTTTTCTTTTTGGCTTTGCTTCCATAGCCTTTGTCCAACAAAGAACAAATTACAATGCAGCAGTTGTTAGATTTTTGGAGTTGTCTCTCCTAGAAGAGTTGCTGTCCTCATCTATCAAGCATCATCTGCCCGTAAGCTCAAACTTGAAACTTATCAATTTAGCAACCATGAGCTTTACCGACTCGACTCGACCACACGACCCCCTTCTGATAGTCTGAGGTCTAGTTTTACAGTTCCCTGATAGCATACCATATCTGATATGCCTGAGGTCTAGTTTTATGAGTTTGAGAGGATCATAAATGCACACAATTTCCCTTACAAACACAATAAAAAATAGAATCCCTCTGTAACCTACCTGTGTTGTTTTGAGTGTTGTAGCCCCAATACCCAAGAAGACACTGGTCACATGTCCTGCCTCCTACACCATAAAAACAGGGGCACTGTCCAGTGATGTTGTCACACACAGTTGAGTTGGACATGGAAGCTTTGCACTGGCACTCTACAACATGGATATGGACACAGTTGTATTAACTATAGCTCTCTCTCTCCCTCTCTCTCTCTCTTACGGTCATAACCAGTTCAAACTTTTGATCATAACCCAGACCGACTAGAACAGGGTTGAGAATTGAGCCTTTCCTTCACCCATGTTACCAACTACTAGATACATGGGCTTTCACCAGACTCATGCTTCCTCCCCAGGTGCTTCATACAACATGATTTTTGTATGTGAGGGGCAGTTTGGTCAGGGGATGACGTATGGTCTTAAGCCTGGGTTCTGAACTCGAGACTTTTGGGCTCGCAAGCCAATGTTCTACTGCTAGACCCCAACAATAGCTAAACATAAGGCATTAGTGATTTTAATTAGATTCGAAATATAGAAAAAACAAAAGAAGTAAAATTTCTCTTAGATTTAACATCAAACCTCTGTATTCAACTGCACAGAGTCTTCAGAATTTAACTTCACTTTAAACATTTGCTTCATGATTAATAATTCAGTAGGAAAAGATAATGACTATTTTAAGAGCAAATTACCACCACACTATTCTTTAGGTCAAATTTTTCAAAAAGTCACCTTGGCAGGTTTGTAGTGAAGCGTTGCCATAGAACCCAACAGCACAGACTTCACAGTGATCCCCTGCGGTGTTGTTGGAACAAGAGTCACAAATTCCAGTGACATTGTTGCAGGTTTTAGAATTGCCATTGCAGGTACATAGGGAACATGTTCCGTTGACATCAAGAGGGTTCCCATAATACAACGGTTCACATCTGTGTACATTATTAAAATAAAACTTGATTAGACTTCCCCCATTAGAATTAAGTACCATCTGTAACAGTAATAAAGGCAGAAACGAGAAACAAAATATTTTTAATTGACTGCTAATTTTTAACATTTAAATAACATTGAAATAAACTCCCTCAAACTTTTTTGTATATTCTTATACTAGCCATCCCGGCCAGGCCCTGCACTGGCCTCTGTGAAAACCCTATCAGTAAAGGACCATAACTTATGTGTTTATTAAGCAGCATATACCTGGCATGGATGTTTGACAAAAGAACACATAACCCTAAACCCAACTCTAACTTTAAACTTAACACTAACCACAACCAACAAAAACCAAAACACAAACACAAAAAGAAACGCAAACATAATGCAAACACAAACACAAAAATATTCTTATATAACAGTACTGCTTGGGATGGCACTACTGGTGGAATTGGCCTATAGAAATTATAGGTCTGAGACAAGACTTTTAATTTGTTTTTTTAAACTACTTAGATACAAAAATTTCCAAGAGTTCCTGCTGTATAAGGATATGAAATAAAAGACTCAAGGTGACTAATTATTTAATTATTATTTATAATAAAATCAAACCAACATAATCCTTATACAGCCTTCATTTTTCTGCAACAGACTATTTTATAGGGTATTCTGCTAATAATTTTGTACCCCATATCTTGTGTTCGAATATAAACAGCATATTGAGCAAGTAAACTACAACTGACAAGTCTACAAATACTGACTGTAATTAGATAAGTATAGCTGCAGAAGTTGCAAAATAAAACTAATAAAAGTATTAGCCAAAGAAATGACCATGACCTTTTGTAAATAAATGAAAATGAGGTTTGGTATTTCTCAGCAGATTTAATAGTCAAGCAACACCCAAGTATTATAATGACTTTGCTTTAAAAAAGATTCTGGCAAATCTGAACTTAAAACCTACTTTGCTCTAAAAATAATTTTCTGGCAAATCTAAACTTTAAACCTACTTTGCTTTAAAAAAAAAAATTCTGGCAAATCTAAACTTAAAACCTACTCAGCTCTAAAAGTAATTTTCTGGCAAATCTAAACTTAAAACCTACTTATCACATAAATCCCCAGTGTATCCCACATTGCAAGAATCACAAACAATAGAGCCAGTGGTGTTGTCTGTATGGCATGTTTCATTCTTGACCCGGGGGTAGTAGCAGGGACACTGTGTACAGCCATTGGTAGCATGGGGGTAGTACCCATGTTTGCAGGTTTCACAACTGTTACCTAAAAGAGTAAAAAGAAAATGTAAATAGGAAAAGAAATGTATCTTCAGTTGATACAATTAAACATCAAAGATATTTGATAAATGAAAAACAGAAATCATGGTAGAATCACAAAAATTCTTTTATAGATTTTCCAATATCATATATTTACTGATAATTAATATTTCTTCCAAATCAGCATAGTTTATAATTTAATTTATAAATTATATTTTACTTTTGAGCTTCGTTTTCTGTTCTTCACTCTCATTTTAAGTATTTTCATTTGTCTTTCTCTCTCTGCTTTTGTCTTTTGTTCAATTTAATTATTTTGCAATCAACCACATTTTCATGTTAAACATGTACATTGCCTACAACTCAGCTGTATAAACATAATACACTGCAAAAAAAAACCTATACAATGCCAGTAATTAACCTGCATAAACCTGTACACTGCCTGCCACTCACCTGCATAAACCTGTACACTGCCTGCCACTCACCTGCATAAACCTGTACACTGCCTGCCACTCACCTGCATAAACCTGTACACTGCCTGCCACTCACCTGCATAAACCTGTACACTGCCTGCCACTATCCTGTATAAACCTTTACACTGCCTGCCACTCACCTGCATAAACCTGTACACTGCCTGCCACTCACCTGCATAAACCTGTACACTGCCTGCCACTCCCCTGTATAAACCTTTACACTGCCTGCCACTCACCTGTATAAACCTGTACACTGCCTGCCACTCACCTGCATAAACCTGTACACTGCCTGCCACTCACCTGTATGAACCTGTACATTGCCTGCCTCTCACCTGTATAAACCTGTACACTGCCTCCACACTCACCTGTATAAACCTGTACATTGCCTGCCTCTCACCTGTATAAACCTATACACTGCCTGCCACTCACCTGTATAAACCTGTACATTGTCTCCCACTCACCTGTATAAACCTGTACACTGCCTGCCACTCACCTGCATAAACCTGTACACTGCCTGCCACTCACCTGCATAAACCTATACACTGCCTGCCACTCACCTGTATAAACCTGTACATTGTCTCCCACTCACCTGTATAAACCTGTACACTGCCTGCCACTCACCTGTATAAACCTGTACATTGTCTCCCACTCACCTGTATAAACCTGTACACTGCCTGCCACTCACCTGTATAAACCTGTACATTGCCTGCCTCTCACCTGTATAAACCTATACACTGCCTGCCACTCACCTGTATAAACCTGTACATTGCCTGCCTCTCACCTGTATAAACCTATACACTGCCTGCCACTCACCTGTATAAACCTGTACATTGTCTCCCACTCACCTGTATAAACCTGTACACTGCCTGCCACTCACCTGTATAAACCTGTACACTGCCTGCCACTCACCTGTATAAACCTGTACACTGCCTGCCACTCACCTGTATAAACCTGTACACTGCCTGCCACTCACCTGTATAAACCTGTACATTGCCTGCCACTCACCTGTATAAACCTGTACACTGCCTGCCACTCACCTGTATAAACCTGTACACTGCCTGCCACTCACCTGTATAAACCTGTACACTGCCTGCCACTCACCTGTATAAACCTGTACATTGCCTGCCACTCACCTGTATAAACCTGTACACTGCCTGCCACTCACCTGTATAAACCTGTACACTGCCTGCCACTCACCTGTATAAACCTGTACACTGCCTGCCACTCACCTGCTGTGTTGTGCTGACAGTCTAAACACACGCCTGTGTCAGGGTTGCAGGTGTTTGAGTGGTTGTTGCAGTCACATGGTACACAGACACCAAAATATTCTGAGCTTGTCACATTGGCTCTTTTGTAGCCCAGGGCACAAGACTACAAAATAGTAATAAATAATCTTAGAGATATTCATTTCAAATTTTTCACTTAATAAAGCATTTATTTCATTATATTTTAAACAGAATCTGTGGCTTTTTTTCTTTTGATTTTACTTGAAATCCAAAAGATTTAAATTTTCATCGCTCTGTTCTTGTCAGATAAAACAACCTTTTAATCCAAAATAAAGTTAGTTTTTAAAGAAAACCTTCAGGTATTCAGCTGCATTTAATATGTAGCCTAAGTAAAAAAAAAATATAACTTATATTATGAATTATGCATTTTGTGAATTATTGCATTAATGCCTTTATTTAATGTGTATTCACTGATCTACTACCCTATGCAACCCATGTATGTGTTTACCTCCCCTATACAACTAGTGCATGTATTTACCTCCCCTATACAAACCATTATGTGTTTACCTCCCCTATACAACCCATGTATGTCTTACCTCCCCTATACAACCAGTGCATGTGTTAACCTCCCCTATAAACCCATTATGTGTTTACCTCCCCTATACAACCCATGTATGTCTTACCTCCCCTATACAACTAGTACATGTGTTTACCTCCCCTATACAACTAATGCATGTTTACCTCCCCTATACAACCAGAGCATGTATTTACCTCCCCTATACAACTAATGCATGTTTACCTCCCCTATACAACCAGAGCATGTATTTACCTCCCCTATACAACTAGTGTATGTGCTTACCTCCCCTATACAACCCATGTATGTCTTACCTCCCCTATACAACTAGTGCATGTGTTTACCTCCCCTATACAACCAGTACCTGTGCTTACCTCCCCTACCAAATGCCATCACATACCTCACATGACCTGCCTGTGTACTGTGGACCACAAGCACACAGCTCCACATAAGGATTCACCAGTCCTACATCACTCACTGAGCTAAACTCCAGCTTGGATAATCTAGCATTAATTAAACAAAGTAAACTAAGTGCAGTCTTAAGTCAAAATTTATTTCATACTTAACTGATACATCTATAAAATAAACAGTTATCATACTTGTTATAATTTATAATTCTATTAATAATTTTTGTGTTTAACAATTATAACTTTGCCTTCTATATTTACATATCAATTTCATATCATACTACATAAGAATAAATGCTTTTTCGTTGAAAGACTGCATAAGATCAGGCTATTAATATGTTTTTCAATGTTATGTTGAGAAATATTCATCAAACATTTATAAGTGAAAAATTCTTTTTAAAAAAGAGCTATGTGCATTTTTTAAAACAAAATTAAAGACTAAGCAGAAAATGGGCACAATTACGTCTGTTAGTGTAGAAGTATTGAAAGTGTTGATCAAGGAAGTTGAATGACCTACCTAGATGTGAGTTTACTGAAGTTGAATGACCTACCTAGATGTGTGTTTGCTGAAGTTGAATGACCTACCTAGATGTGTGTTTGCTGAAGTTGAATGACCTACCTAGATGTGTGTTTACTGAAGGAAGTTGAATGACCTACCTAGATGTGTGTTTACTGAAGGAAGTTGAATGACCTACCTAGATATGTGTTTGCTGAAGTTGAATGACCTACCTAGATGTGTGTTTGCTGAAGGAAGTTGAATGACCTACCTAGATGTGTGTTTGCCTGTAGCAAAAGATGCAGGAACCAGCAGAACTTTGGCAGTGTACAAAATTTTTAGAAACTCCCCTCTTGTAAGGTTGCCAGAAGATTTGCTCCAACTGCTTTCCCTCAGGACAATCCTGTGGGTGGTGTCCACCCCCTGGTCGAAGTTTGTCACTGTCTGGGTCAGAGTGATACCACTGCTGTCAATTAGTATGACCTTAAGGTCAAGGATACGTTGACCTAACACGATGATATAATCAACGGTGAAGGTCACGTCTGATCCATAAAGAGATAAGAGATTTGAGAGAAGAACACCAGGCATCTGCCAATAGAGGCGTGGCTGGGCTTCTGTGAGAGATACCATTGGTTGGCTCAGGCTTTTGCTGGTGTCCAGGGTGATGTTCATGTCGTACACAGTTCCATTTTCAGTGCAGAGTTTGATGGCAGAGGCTTCACCAGAGTCTGTCCTTACAGTCAGAGGAAAGATGGCCTTACAGGGGACAAAATGTTAACTATTTATAAAGTTATACCATAAAAATAATAAAAATATGATGTATTGACATTTCAGGCAAACAAAATCTGATGGAAAACACACAGGTTTTATTTTTAATAAACTTAAGATAAAGAAAAATATTTATGTTAATGGTTTTCAGAAAAAAAGAAAAAGGATTAAATATTTTTACTCAGCTTAATGTTGGCAGCTGTACAGTCTGATGTGACACCCATATAACCTGGTACAATGGAACCCAGACTCCCCCATCAACTCACAGGGTTCAGCTTAATGTTGGCAGCTGTACAGTCTGATGTGACGCCCATACACACATATAACCTGGTACAATGGAACCCAGACCCCCCCCCCCCATCAACTCACAGGGTTCAGCTTAATGTTGGCAGCTGTACAGTCTGATGTGATGCCCATACACACACAGCTCAGACATCCTCTGCTGTTGCTGGCGCTCAGACCAAAAGTTCCAGTTTTACAGCTGGTGCATGCCCTCCCAACTGTGTTCTCCTACAGAAAGTGACATGTTCAGTGTTACAATCAATGTGAGCAGTGGTAATTACATTAAGTTTGTCAAGAAAAAGTTGTGTATGTTTGATAAACTAAGTGAATGAAACAGAAAAAAAAGTTTTATTAAAATTAAAATGTTATAATTAAAATGTAATAGATAACTAAAACCAAAAAGCTTGTTTAGGGCACATATTCCAGTACCATATTCATGCATTAAATAAATGTACAAAATAAATGTGAATCTACTTGAACTACCTGCATGTCCCATTAACATACCAGATAAATATGAATATTATACTGAACCAGTTACAAGTTCCATAAATATGTACCAAATCAATGAGAAATCAATTTGTACAAGTTCCATGTTCCATAAACAAGTACAAATCACAAACATAGAATGTGTACCCACTTTACAAGAGCACTTACAGGTTTCACGTATTCCATTAGCATGTACCAAATAATGAGAAAGCAATCTGAACCAGTTCAATGTTCCATAAACAAGTACAGATCACAAAGATAGAATAAGTACCCACCTTACAAGAGCACTGTCCTGTGGTTTGGTTACACACTGATGTTAAAGATCCTGCCTCATCACAGCTGCATGGAACACATTCTTGTCTGGCATCACGATAGAAGCCATCCATGCAGCTCTCACATTTGGATCCTCTATAACCAGTTTTACACAGACAAACGCCAGTGGTAGAGTTACACTGTAGACTTAATGAGCCAGTGGGGTGACAGGCGCAGGGCTAGGTGGGGGATAGAATACAAGTTACAAAACAATATTATCAATAGTTACAGTATTATGATTAACTGTAAATATATAATGATTTTGAACTCGTTTTTTTAAGGCAGATGTTTGAATAATACATTATATATAACATTTTATGACCAGGATTAAAGTTAAATAGTTTTTCATTTTTTTTTATAAATATTTTTCCAATAACTGTTATTGGAGCAATCAAACTATTCTCACTATTTTATCAAACATGTTGAAACCATAAATCAGACCAACTCATCTAAATAATCTAAATGTTTTCAGATTTTCTTTAAATGGTACTTTCATACTTTACTGATCTGTACAATGTAGTACAATATTGAAATAGAATTTACTACAATATATTCAAAATAAAGTTTATTTTAGCACTTCATAATAAAGGGCCCATACTGTAAAGTCGGGCTCTAGATATATACCCTTGCTAATTGTCCCATGCCTAGATCAAAAGTGTAATCCGACTAATAAATTGAAATAGAGAATGACCATACCGTACATCCAACTGTTTTTGTCCAGTTCCAGTTGTTTGGTAAACAAAATTCACACTGTCTACCCAGGGTATTGTCAGGACATTGACACTGTCCAGTGACACTGTCACATGCCGAGCTGAGTACATCACACTTGCAATCTGTGGATAGAGTGGTTAGTAGACATGTGATGCCACTAGTTTCTAGCCAGTGATCAGTAGACATGTAATGCTACTAGTTTCTAGCCAGTGGTCAGTAGACATGTGATGCTATTAGTTTCTAGCCAGTGGTCAGTAGACATGTGATGCTACTAGTTTCTAGCCAGTGGTCAGTAGACATGTGATGCTACTAGTTTCTAGCTAGTAGACATGTGATGCCACTAGTCTCTAGCCAGTAGACATGTGATGCCAATAGTTTCTAGCCAGTGGTCAGTAGACATGTGATGCTACTAGTTTCTAGCCAGTGGTCAGTAGACATGTGATGCTACTAGTTTCTAGCCAGTGGTCAGTAGAGATGTGATGCTACTAGTTTCTAGCCAGTGGTCAGTAGACATGTGATGCTACTAGTTTCTAGCCAGTGGTCAGTAGACATGTGATGCCAATAGTTTCTAGCCAGTGGTCAGTAGACATGTAATGCTACTAGTTTCTAGCCAGTGGTCAGTAGACATGTGATGCTACTAGTTTCTAGCCAGTGGTCAGTAGACATGTGATGCTACTAGTTTCTAGCCAGTGGTCAGTAGACATGTGATGCTATTAGTTTCTAGCCAGTGGTCAGTAGACATGTGATGCCAATAGTTTCTAGCCAGTGGTCAGTAGACATGTGATGCTACTAGTTTCTAGCCAGTGGTCAGTAGACATGTGATGCTACTAGTTTCTAGCCAGTGGTCAGTAGACATGTAATGCTACTAGTTTCTAGCTAGTGGTCAGTAGACATGTAATGCTACTAGTTTCTAGCTAGTAGACATGTGATGCCACTAGTCTCTAGCCAGTAGACATGTGATGCCACTAGTTTCTAGCCAGTGGTCAGTAGACATGTAATGCTACTAGTTTCTAGCCAGTGGTCAGTAGACATGTGATGCTACTAGTTTCTAGCCAGTGGTCAGTAGACATGTGATGCTACTAGTTTCTAGCCAGTGGTCAGTAGACATGTGATGCTATTAGTTTCTAGCCAGTGGTCAGTAGACATGTAATGCCACTCAGTTCAATTCAAGCTAGTAAGTAATTAACAGAAGCTTTTAAAAGTTTAATTTTAATTAACAGAGCTTGAAGAAAGTCAATATTTTAGATGAGTAATTCCACAAGAAAAATTTTACAAAAAAAAAATGAAAAAATATTTCTTCTAATACCTGTACACCCAGTGTTACTGAAGCGATAGTAACTTGGAGAGCATTTGTTACAAGTTCTGCCCACAACACCAGTCTGGCATTTACACTGACCCCCTGTCATGTTGCATGTGGAATCAAAGCTCCCTGTTACATCACAGTTACAAGGCAGGGGAGCCTCCCAGTAGTACATGGTGACTGTAAACAAAGCTTTCTGGCACAGGACAAGATCTGGAGGGTTGGTGGGGCTGGGGAGATAGAATTTTACAAATTTGAATAATAAGCGCTTTATTATATAAATGAGAAAAAAAATATTTAAAGATGCCTCTTTGAACTGGGCAGATGAAGTAGAGTTCATTTTTTTCTGGAACTCGGCTTATGAAGGGATAATGTGGTCAGCACTATACCCAGCCGCCTTTACTTTCCCTAATGTGAGATAGGTATGCATCAGAGCTGGGTGGACTCAGGGATGTTCTACTGACTTGAACCTGAATTCTAACTCCCGACATTCGGGTTAGCAGCCTACAAGTGATAACATTCTAACGCAAAAAAAATAGATGATGACTATTTTGTCTTAATAATACTATAGTGGTAATACATTGTCATAATGATGCTGTATGCATCGAAATAACACATTATCACATACTAAAACAAACATAATTATAATTCAAAAGCCATAAGCAACAGACTAACTTTGGCTTTCAATTCACAGAAATGTGAACCGAACTTCAATTTTATACATTAAAAAAAAGTTTTATAAATGTAAATGCTATTTTAAGCCTGTGACACTTAAAATGTGTAACTAACAATTGGTTTTTTAAAAAGTTGCAGCCAGCTGGTAAGTCATACGTCACAAGTGAAGAAACATTCTGGAACTCCTGGGGTACAGCCACTATCTTGTCCTGGGAGATGGGAAAAAATGTTTTCAAATTGAGAATGTTGAATTTAAGAAGGATCTCCAATAATTCTCTTTGTAAATCTATAAAATTCAAGCACACCAATATAAGCCTACAGTTTTAATTAGTTAGGGTAATCTGGTGCTGTATCCAGAATGTATCTGCCTGTATGGATTTTATGTGCTGTCAACTACCACCCCTGGTTAATTAGTGTTTCTATAGACAAGATCCAACATACCAATAAAACCTCAGCGTCATTGTTTGTCAACGTAATTAAGTTTGGTCCTGGATACAGAGCTATTGGTGCTGGACTGCTCAGCTCACACCAGGTCGTTGAACACACAGGCGTTTCCATGGTTACATTGTGAACCTGGTCATCTAAACAAACAAAAACAAAAAATCATTTTTTTTTTTCTTTTTTGGGGCATTTATATGATTAAAATTTTAAGTCTTTCAAATGACAATAATCGAATCCTCCAAATGAAGCCTAGATTAAAACTGAGAATATAGTTTAGAAATTTTGAAATAGAAATCATTTGGTTTTTTTGGTTTGTTTTTTCAATGTTGTATCTGGTTAGATTATATTTGTTACATTAGAAGACTGACTATTGTATATGAATGAAGTCTGTATGTTATATAAGAGATTCACTGTTGCCTATGAGCAAAGATTTGTTATTTAAAAGATTCACTGTTGCATCTGAGTAGATTCTGTGACAAACTTTAACAACCTGCAGACTGGAAGTGTAGGGTCAAAGTGCTGACCTCCGATGACCTGTAGGTGATGATCAGGATAAAGTTATACGTCAGGTCCAAGTTGGCTGGTGTGGTCAGTAAGAAAGTCAGGTTACTCTAGCAGATTGAAAGGTAATAAAAAAAAAGGTAGCATATTCACTACAAACTCAATTCAGAACATGCATTTTACACAAGCAGTGGTGGTATAAAAATTGAAACATAAAGAATTATTTTTACACTGTTATTTCTATTCTAGTCTGACATTGGTATGTTGTTATGATTATTTATGTGTTTTTGAAGATTTAGTTAACATTTATTTGATAGTAAATGTAAGTCAATAAGTAGCATTGACTTCAGAGTTTATCTGTATGCCTAAATGTTTTCAAAAATAGCTGTAATGTAAATAGTTTTTACAAAAGCAAAATCAAATTACTTTTTGTGTGAATTTGTTTCTACGAATTGTTCACTACTCAAACTAAAAACACAAGAACTAATGATGTGCTATAAATAACTTCATAACAAACCATTTTACCTAAAAAGTTTAGCTTGTAGGCCTACATTATTATTATAAAACTCAAAACTTGCTTTAACTTACACCAGGAACAGCCACAGCATACCCTCGCCCAGAGAAGCCAGCATTTGAAGGGTTTCTGTTGTAAACTACTTCACCTAGACTGTCTTCCAGCTCTGTAAAAATACTGTGAGGGCTTGGATAGTAGAAGCCAGGTTTTATGCTGGAAATATTTTTAAAATCATTACAGCGGCACAGTGGTATTACTTGTATTTATTTAACATATATCTCAAACCCTACAAAATACCTGTAATATAATGATTCTTTAAAAATTATGACTTTCTAATTAAAATTTTACAATTTTGTGCTAAGACATGCATGATATTCGGGTATAGTAACAATGTCTTAAACTGAATGTCTTAAGTTTAAAGTTAGATGTCCTTGTATTCACCCAGCTATAATGGGTAGCTGACCACCTAATCCTCTACTAAAGTCAAAGAACCAAAAGAACTCTACTTCATCTGCTCTATGGAGAGTTAGATCTGTGAACCACCTCAGTTATTTGTATTACCTACCTGTCACACTGCCTTCCTAGGATATTATCACTGTGGCAGACACACTGCCCGGTCACTTTGTCACAGACATTATTCAATGACCCACCAATATTGCACTCACAAGAGGAACAACCTGCATTAAAATGTTCTTGTTTAACTTCCCATTTATAACACAAGCACTTAACAGTTTTTCTGTTTTTACTTTTAGCTAAAGTAATTTTGACATTATCAAATATAATATTTAAACTACAATTAAGTCAGGTAAAATTATTTAAATAGTAGTGTATTATTATATTTTTTAAAGAAAAACATTTATTTTCTCCTTTTTAGTGCATAATAAAACATTTTCTATTCAATTTTTTTAATACTCTACCTACATTAAACAAAGTAATTAGAATAGAACATTATCTTATATTTGTAACCATAAGCACAAGATGTCCCTGAGTCTACCCAGCTCTGATGGGTCCTGGCACAAACTATAGAAATTAAATGCAGCTGGGCATAAACTCACTACTTTATCTTATGCTGAGGTTATTGAAATAGGTAAGCCCTACATCATCTGCCCTACTGGTCAGTCAGTCTAAAAGGGCAACTTTTTAAAAATTTTGTGAACATAGCTACATACCTGCTCCATTGCTGCTAGAAAGATTGTAGAAACCATCCTTGCAAGTGTCACAGGCGCGACCTTGTACATTAACCTTACATGGGCACTGTCCAGCACTGTCAGGTGTACACAAACCATTTCCATCTACTGTGCCTGGGGTGTGGCAAGCACAGGCTGGGATACATGTACATAGAGTCAACAAATGTAGATAAATGTACATAGAGTCAACAAATGTAGATAAATGTACATAGAGTCAACAAATGTAGATAAATGTACATAGAGTCAACAAATGTAGATAAATGTACATAGAGTCAACAAATGTAGATAAATGTACATAGAGTCAACAGATGTAGATAAATGTACATAGAGTCAACAAATGTATAAACAAACACTGCAGAGTACAACTAATGTTCTGACATGAAGTAATTATTAACACTTGCAACAAATGTGCCATTATGAACAACTGTTAATATTTTCAAATAAAAAATTAACAAAAAAAAAAACGTTCAATTTTAAATCAACAAAATGCTCACCACAGCTATACATTTAACATAATGTAATAGATGTATGGTATCTTTAAATATCCACCAGTTTTTAACAAAATAGATGTATGGTAAGTTAAAATAATCCACCAATGTTTAACAAGATAGATAGTATGTTGAAACATCCATCAGTTTTTAACAAAATAGATGTATGGTAAGTTAAAATAATCCACCAATGTTTAACAAGATAGATGGTATGTTGCAACATCCACCAGTTTTTAACAAAACAGATGTATGTATTTGTAAGTTAAAAACATCCACCACTGCCAACTTACAGCTGCAGCCTTGCAGGTTACTTGACTGCAGGTTATAAAAGCCCTGTTTGCAGGTGTCACACTTTGACCCCATAACGTTTGCTTTACAGTAACAGTCCCCTGGTTTCTGATTTAAAAGTTTATTTTCATTATAAGACAGTTTAAAGTTAATATTAAGGTGTGGATTAAAGTAATAATCCCCTGGTTTCTGATTTAAAAGTTTGATTTTATTATAAGACAGTTTAAAGTTAATATTAAGGTGTGGATACCAATTATTCAATAATAATAAGTCATTGTTACAGGAATGGCAGAGAATTAGGTATCTCAAGGTAACAATCCCCTGGATTTTGTTCTAAAAGTTTGTTTTTAATACAAGACACCTCAATGTAAATACCAAGAAATAAATTCTACTATTATCTTTTTATAAAACGATTTAAAACTATAAAATATAATTTTAAAAATTACTATAGGCCTCACTATAAATTATAATTTTAAATTAGAAAATATAAATATTTTATAAAATGAAAATATACCTAACATATATTGATAAAATAAAAATATATCTAGCCTATAAATACACTGATAAAAAATGCTCAACCTTTCCTTCAGCTGCTACATCATCGCTCATCACACAGTCCACCAGACCTGTGGCAGGGTTCAGGTCTGACCCAGAGGCATTACACAAACAGGGAACACACGCGTCACCTGCCGTCTGGATCCTTCCAGAGGGTCTGTAGTACAGGGCGACACATTTTTCACAGTTGACCCCTGATAGGAAGTAATTGTATTCAATGGTGGTCATTTATCTATTAAATTATTACTTTTTTATGAAAAATACAGCAAAAGTATTAACTAATTATAAAGTGTATTTGTATTAGCAAAAGTATTGATTAGGACATAGATCTGCTTACAAAATGTACTTGTGTTAGCAAAAGTATTGATAACTTATAAAATGTAATTATGTTAGTAAAAATACTTTTTATTAGCAAAGCTAAATCATCTCAAAATTATTCCATAAGCATAGTTATTAAAATTGAAAAATTATAAAAATTTCTTTTTTTAAAGATAATTCATGACAAAATAACATTTAGTTAAACATTTAACAATTATTAAAGAATGAAAATAAAAACTGTATTCTAAACTCGAGGCTAAATGAAAGGACTGCAACAAACCTGCTGTAAAGTTTTGACAGTCCACACAAACACCCCCACCCCTCCGCTTGCCTTCAGAATCCAGGGAAAAATTGCCTGCCTCAACACTTGCCTGGTAGAAACAGCTACTGGCGTGACCAAAGCAGTTGCAAGCTAAAATTTTAGTGAAATAATATTTGGAGAACAAAAAACAAATATATTTTTAGTATTTTTTATAATTCATTATTTTTTAGCATCTTCATAAAAATCAATATTTTTTTCAAAGAAGATTTATTTCTTTAGTGATGCACTAGAATATGCCTAAACATTTTTTTAAATGCTAAAAATGCTGATGTAAATATACAATGGGCTATGTTGAAGGTTATTAGTTTTTGGACTGAGATGTTTTATCTTCATGTATTAAATGTATAGGGCTGAAATATGTTAAAAGTACTTTCAGTTACTATTTTTAGACTAACAACTATACAGAACATAGAGAGATGTAAAAAGTAGTTTAATACTAAGAATAACATTTCTAAAAGAAGAATTTCTCACCAACGCAAGGCTCCCCATATTTAAACTGGTACTGGTTGAAGAGTGGTAAGCAAGATTCACAGAACATTCCTTTGGTGTTTCCCCCACAGATACACTCATACATGCCCGTTGTGTTGCTGATTTCACACCCACTTTGTTGGCCATTGCAGGGACATTCAGCAAAGACTGACAACTCCGTAACAGCATAGTGGTTCTATTGTTTTGAAAATTGGTGGTTCTATAAAACTATAAATAAAACTTTTTTTTTTAAAACCACTAATTTTAAATCAGTTACTCTTTAAATATCACTATTAATTCATAAACATTTAATTAAACATTAAATTAATTGTGATCTCAGAAGAAAAGAAATTCGTTAATATAACATAGCTATCAGTGATCTATTTTTAGGCGCATGACTTTATGTCCGCACCTATTGCTATCAGTTTAATAACAGATGTACATTTCATCAGGAAAAAACCCAGACATGAGGTAAATGCCCATTGTTGACCACACAGGTGTCAGGGGCATTGTGGGGCTGTCTCAGGAGACTCTGATGATTAGCTCCTTGTTCAGTTTAGTCATTGAATCTATGGCCCACTGTGTCAGGGCCATTGTGGGGCTGTCTCAGGAGCCACTGATGTTTAGCTCCTTGTTCAGTTTAGTCATTGAATCTATGGCCCACTGTGTCAGTAGCATAGGGTGCTCTTTGGATTCAGATGCCATAGTGCTCATGGGGGATACCTGCACACTTCTGGTCACCCTAGCACTGGCGGGTAAGTCTGGTTTGATTTGATCAAACATTATAGTAGCCCAACCCACAGAGTATGGCACTCTTTAAAATGAATATAGGCACCATAGTGCTCTTTGGGGAGCCTGAGGTGCTCCAGGTCACCTGACCACAATGGTGGTGGCGTATGTGCCTACTTAACAGTTGAATTAAGTTGTACCCCAGACCACTTGTGAAGAGTGCTCTTTAAAACCACTATAAGTTCATACTGCTTATATTGCATGAGGCATTCCTGGTTACCCGGCCGCCAGCTGATGCACCTGGTGCAGTACACCAGTAAATCAATTAATACCTTTGACTCTTTGTGCTAATCAACAAATATCAGGGATAGCCACTGGGAAACCTTGGGAATCAAATGGCACCCTGCCAGGGCACTGCAATTTAAATCCCACCCCCCACCCCCCACCCCCCCAAACCTTCCCAAAAGTATTTTTATCAACTTCCCAAAGTTTCATGCCGATTGGATTGGATGATGAAAGGTGTAGCAATGCATAAAGGACAGAAGATATACACGCAGACAGACATGTTTTCATTTATATATATATATATATATATATATATATATATATATATATATATATATATATATATATATATATATATATATATAATATATTCACTGAAAGGAAATCAATCAATAATTAGTATATCAAAAGGATTAATTATCAAAGAAATGCTAATGAGTCACCCACAGATAAGGCAGAAAGAAACAGTTAAGTTATATATCAAGATCAATAATTTTATGCAAGTGATTACAACCAGATGTTACCCCAGGTAATTTTATCAGCTAAAAGTTTTGACACAATACAAAGTGGTTACATGTGGTATTGATTACCCATAGTATAGGTTGTTTTTTTTAAATTCATTCATGTATATAAAAAGTATGGTGAACCATTCTGGTCATATTTTATTATTTCTTGGTATGCAATGAATAATAGTTTGAACTCCCTCAATCAACCAGAGGAAAGTACAAAAAAAAAACAATCAATTTTACAAATAAATTGACACATAAAAAAGATGATTGAAGGGAAACAATAAAACGCTAACCAAGAAAATGAGGGTTATCCATAATTGTCATTAGCTGTAAACATTGCATGACTACTGCAGCAGGTTAAAATGAAGTTAGTTTGGAAAGTCACAAAGTTAAGAGTTTTGTTCTTACAAAGTACATCAAGAAAGGCAACAGGACAGACACAAAGCATTAAATCATAATTTTGATGTTACTCACATATGAATTAGCCAGAGAGTTGAATGGATAAACAAACATCATGTCATAAAACTTCACATTGAGATACCTTATTCTCTGCCATTCCTGTAACGATGACTTATTATTATTGAATAATAGGTATTTTGTTTAGTTTTATCACACAGGTCTACTCTATCATTAAACAATTAATACTAACAGAAAAAATGATAATTCACTTAATTCTTTTAGTTTGTGTAGTATTTTACATTTAAAATAGAAATGAAAAAATGAAGATAAAGCTACAAGCCTTTAGTGCTATAGGAACTTCACTTAAATCAACTGTTATCTGCAGGAGAAGAAATAAGATTATATAGGTAATTTCACATTGTTAGTATAATGATATAATCAGTTCCTTTTCAGATAGCTAACATTTTGTAGTTTAGAATTGTGTCTGTGCAATACCAAAGATTAGTGAATGTTAGTAAAAACAAGTTAATTAAAAAGTCTAGTGACATTTAAGCGCAATTTCCTTATGTTATCTAAAAATAGCTCTGACGTATAATGCTGGGGTGTGTTCAAGCTAGGAGAACGATCGGTTTGTAGGTGTTTATGTAATTTTAAAATTTGTGACCGAACGAAAGGATATTTTTGAACTTTCTTCGGCAATATTGTTCTAAATTATGGCAGGAATCGATTGGTAAATGTTTCAAGTCGCTAAGTGGTCTGGTTGCCGAGATATGGGCCAAAAACTGCATTTTTTCGAGGTTTTTTGGCTTTTCCGGGAAAATCTATTAAGGAATTCCAGAATTTTTTTGGCCCACTATCATCCTCGTAACTTGCTTAACATATTTGCTTTTGGAACTAGTCCTCGATATTGCTTCGTTGAGGAGGAGATACGACTTAAAGCTGCGAACACACATTCCCAGAAAAGACGAGTTAATAAACGCAATTCTCCAGAATGGAAATTGCGCTAAAAAAATTATTGCCTTTAACAATCTTATTAAAAATTTCTTTTGATGAAGAAGAAAATTGGTACATTTTTGGCGCATAAGATTTTTGAATGAAGTTTTTTTTATAAAAGTAAGAACCTACAGCATCACCAGGTGGTTTGTCATCAGCAACATAGTCAACACAAATGGTGTCTGTGACTGAAGATGGGACAGTTTTGTAGGCCGAGGGGAAGATTGTGCCGCACCAGTCCGGGAGGGAGACGGCGTAAATCCACGGCGTGTACGTATTTCCATCTGTTGATTTTTCTATGGCCATTCTTTGTGGAGTGAGAGCATCTCCATTTTGGATTGTTATTTTGGAAGCCAAAAATTCCTGCAGGAGTGAGATTAAATGGAGCAAATCTTTGTGAAAATAATTATTTGTAATTGGGGTGATTTATCTGGGAATTAATTTGTAGAGCACACAAGTATTAACAAAAAAAATTTGAGTTTGGATCAAGTCTGTCAGACTTCCATGTGTTTGCCCAGCTTTGATGGGTAGATAACTCTACAGAGGAAAGTTAATGTAGTAGTTCCCAGCACAGAGAAACAGATGAACTCTACTTCACCTGCTCCATGGACCATCCAGCCAGTAACAGTACTGTACTTTTTCTTAAGTTAGCTTTGAAAAAAAGGTAAAAAATTGTTTTTAAAACAATATTTCCAAAACATTAATCTCAATGTTCTGTAGAGTGGATAAAGTAGAGGTAACTATGAAAAATGGTATTGTTGCCTTTTTTCCCTTGACTAAAGCCAGATACTCATGATTTGTCTATACTATTGTACCCTGTATAATGCTAAGTACATAATAAACCTGCTTAGTAACCGATATCCCATACTCCAATTTCAGCCTGCTTTTATTTTTGGATTTGCTTCCATATTTTGTCCAACCAAGAACAAACTACAAGGCAGCAGTTTTTTATTTTGGAGTTGTCTCTCCTAGAAGAGTGGCTGTCCCCAGCTAACACCTCATCTGCCCAAAGGTTCAAACTCGAAATTTTTCGGTTTAGCAACCATAAGCTTTACCAACTGGATGACGACCCCTGAATTAATTACAATTAATTACAGAGCCAGTTCTTACCTGACAGAGATCAATATTAATCATGGCCTCCAGTTCCATGGACCTTTCATTAAATAACACTGTTCCATACTCGTAACTCCTGAACCTAGAGGTACTCTGCCACCATGTAGTACTAACACCATCCACCATAGCCTCGGCAGGAAAAGTTGCCTTAACACCAGTGGCATTGGCAGGGGCATAACTACAACTTCTCTTGGGCCTGTTAGACACAGCACTGTACGCGTCTGTTAGCGTTGTGTATGACTCTCTCTCAAAAGCACCACATGTGTAGTAAGCCTTTATGGGCTTGTTTAAGGCTACATTGACAGGCACACAGTTCACATCATGTACAATTATCCCACATATAATTAACACAGTTGCCGGATAAAAAATCCAGAATTTCTGGTTATCTAACTTCAATACATTTATACTCATTTTATTACACAATGATATAGTTTATTAAGAAAAAAAATGTTTCCAGTGTCTATTTCCACATTTCTTCTGTAACTGCGTTACCTAAATAATCTCTGGTCTAACTGTAGTGTGTCAGCTGGAATGACACACACCATGAGCCAGGTGTTTCCAACAAATGTTACACATGACACACAACATTATGCAAATAGAAATATGGGAGAAGTTTGAACTCCACCCACTTTGAGGAAACTGTCAATCAATAACTGTAGCCTGACAGCTGACACACTATAATCCAATGATTTTTTTTTTGATGTTGCTTTTCTACATTTTTTTTTTATTAGATCACAGAGCATTTTAAAAATAATCTTAGATTCTTCTTGTGTACGATTAAGAGTAGCCATTATCAAATGTTTAAGAGTGATATATTAATATTATTAAAACTAAGTTATTATTTATTTCAAAATTGGCCTAAGTAAATTTTTTAAATATGAAATTTCCAACTAATAAACATAACAAAATAGAACTTTAAGACTTCGCAGTTTAAAAAGTCTATGTGAAACTAAATAATACATCTTTCGTTAATGCATTTCATACCCTTGCTTCTATTACAAGTACTTACATAATGATTTCTTAAATTACAGACCCTGCAACATAAATAATACATGCCTTTGTATACCACTGTAAATACTATTCAAATTGTTTTTTGTGTTTTAAATCTTTGCATTTAAAAGTATATTACTTATTTTGTTCAGATTTATTTTTTTTCAAAGTAATTGTTTGCATATTGAAGAAACCATTTTACTTTTGAATTATAGTTGATATCATGTGATAATTACATGTTAACAAAATATATTTCTTTCCTTATAATTTGAAATGTTAGACTGTATAAGTTTCAGAGAAACCACCGGAGCAGAACCAAGTCTAAGAAAGATGGGAATTAACTGTGCTTTACAAATTATATTATAGTTATACACTGGAACTTATTTTAATTTAGATCAGCAATGTTTTTAATTTATTTCATACCATCATATTTGAATACTTTAAAAAAAAACCCTGTCATTTCAATTTATATTTTTCTAATGGAAAATATAGTATCAGTAATTTTAAATTTTCAGCATTTTGCTTTGTGCACCATGGACTAACCTATAGCCTACACAAAAGCTGCAAAGCCACCATTCAGAAGGGGTCTTAAATTTGTTTTTTGAAATAACATGCAAAGACAATTTTCATGAAACAATTTTAATGCAACTAAGGTTACAAATCAACATACATCAATATAATAAGTTGTAAATAGAAAACTTGCAACAACAATATTACAACATTGTAATAGTGTTAGTAAAAATAGTACAATTATTTTTTTTTTTAATTTTACAACATTGCAATAGAGTTAGTACAAAATGATACACTTTTTTCCAATTTTATAAAATTCCATTCAAATAATTCAGAAAGTTTTTGAACAGAAGTCATAACCATGAACTTGAATACAGAATAAACTAACTTGATTTTCTGGTACATGTTTTTGGTAGCAAAATGGCAGCTGCCACAAAGGGACATCCTGGCAGTTTAGGCACAACAATAACACTATATACAGTAACACCAGCAGTAAAATGATATGACAGAGGCATCACACGACCTCAACATACTCGTGAGATTTCTTTAGGAATTCTTCTGAGAAATTTTCATGATCACCTGTAATTTAAAAAAAAAAAGGAGTTTAGAATATGTGTACCATTAAATTAAAATACTTTTTGAGATAAATAATAAATAAATTATAATTTTTTTGTAGATTTTAAAAAAATTATTTATTGTTATTTATTGTTTTAGTAGAAGAAAAATTTTGTTCTCTGTAATTTTAAGTGAGTAGCTAGGGATAAAGTTAAAGTTAACCCCTTATGATAATGTGAATTGTGATTAAAAATGAAAACAGTGATGTGGGTAGAGGCCATTTGTTGAGTTACAATTGTGTAAGCTACAACAGTGTAGACCCAAACTAGGAAAACTTACAGATTTAACCTCTGTATAAGCTTCAACACCATATTCTCCAAGTTCTCTCCCTTGGCCAGACATTTTGTACCCACCAAAAGGAAGAGCAGTATCAAACACATTGTGGCAGTTAATCCTAAAAAATAAAAATAAAAGATAACTCAAAATTTTTTAAATATAAAATCAAAAGAAAACAGGTGTAAAAAAAATTGCTTTCTGTGAAGTTTTTTTAAGTTACAGAATTTAAAATTAATTTTTGTAAAAAATTGCTTGTTTAGATTAATTGAAGCACTGTTTAGAGAACAAAGATGATTGCGTCAGTCCAGGTAGTCTTGTGAGAGGAAGAACATAAAGAACTGTGTGTACTCACCAGACAGTTCCAGCCCTGAGACTGTTGGACAAGAAGATGGCGCGGTCAAGGTCTTGAGTGTACACTGAAGCAGCCAGACCATAGATGGTGTTGTGAGCTCGCTCTAGCAGCTCCTGGTCATTTTTAAACTTAAATATCTGCATCACCGGCCCAAAGATCTGTTCAATGGTGATATTTGAAACATTAGAAAGTATAAAATTTAGGATAAAGTTCTTGTCATTATTAACATTAATTCTTCATGACCAGGACCATTTTCCTAAGCCACCAGAATTTTCAATGGGGAAAATACACATTGGTTGATACTTTTTGTTTTAAAGTTATAATTTTTCTAGCAATATCATGGTTAGGATTGGAATAAGAAAAAGTACTTTTAATTAGTGGGACGGAGTGGTTTAGTGGTAGAGAGCTGGACTGCTAGCCTGTAATTCTCGAGTTCGAATCCGGGTTTAAGCCAGTACACCGTCCCTGAGTCCACCCAACTTAGATGGGTACCTAACTCACGTTCGGGAAAGAAAAGGCGGCTGGGCATAGTGCTGACAACACTAGCTCTTCATATGCCGAGGTCACAGAAACAAGTGAACTCTACTTCACTTGCCATATAGACAGTCAGGTTTGAAAGGGAACTTTTTTTTTTACTTTTAATTAATTATTCAGTGGGGCAATGCACCTTTTTTTTAATAAAATATAAAAAAAAAACCAATAGGAAAACTACAAAAAATAAAAACAACTAAAAAGGTAGCTCTAGCAATATCAAGAAGAAAGATATATAATTGAAAACTTACAATTCTGTAAAACAATAGATTAAATAGAGAAAATATAAGACACTGGGAGTGTCATTAGTCTTACTAGAGTTAAGGGATGACAGATATACATATTAATTTTAAAGGTTATAGCTGATGTAGGTTAATTAAATGCATTTAGTAAAGTTCATCTACTAAAAGAAAGAGAAATAAACAAGCCAGAGGACTTACTTCCTCCCTGGCAATCCTCATGTTGTCTTGTACGTCAGCAAAGATAGTTGGAGCGACAAAATATCCTTTGTCACCAACTCGGCTTCCACCAACAGTCATTGTTGCCCCTTCCTTCTTGCCACTGTTGATCAGGTCAAGAATTTTACCCATCTGGTCCCCATCAACCTGGATGAAGAACAAGTTTGGAAAACTTTTAACAAAAATATTCGTGAGAGTATGATTATGAGAGAATTTATCTATAATAGGAACTATAAGGATAGATTATGAGAAAATGTTAACCTTTTTTTTTAAAAAACAAATCTTATAACTACTTTAAAATCTTTAGTTAAAATAGTGCTTTGTTCTAGTGATTTATTGCTTGCGGTTACATGGTTGCAAATAAGTAACTTTTTCTAATGAAAAAAGATGTTAAAAATATGTTTTGAATTGTAAAAAAAGACAGTAAAAAATATTTTTTATATCGTGTTGTATAATATGCACTCTATACTTCAGAGGGGAAAGTTTTCTATTGTAAATCAGCCTTTTAGTTGGAGGATATCATGGAACATGTTCTCACCTGAGGTCCTTGGTCCACGTTTGTGAAAGGGTTACCAACAGTTCGCTTCTTTGCCTTTTCTGTAGCCAGCTCAACAAAGTCTTTGTAAATTTTATCTTCAACAAAAACTCTTGAGCCAGCGGTGCAGCACTGGCCCTGGTTGAAGAAGAGGCCGACATGTGTGCTGTCTATGGCTTGAGCCACTGGAAGAGACAGTACACAACATTAGCAACTTGTTCTATGTTGTAATAAGACAAGGAACTTGTTCTATGTTGTAACAAGACAAGGAACTTGTTCTAAATATTGTTCTTGTAATAAGACATTTTTAAAATAATTTTTTTTCCCAAAAACTTAAAGTACTTCTATACCCATTATCAAAATCCTCGTATATTTTATTATCATATATAGTAAAATGTAAAAATGGGCAAGTGAAGTTGAATTCCTGTTCATGTGACTTCAGCGCATGAAGGCATAGTGTGGTAAGCACTATGGCCAGATGCCTTTACTTTCATTATCATAAATATTATGTTTGAACAAGACTCACTGTTGCTGTCTGAGTAAACAATCTGAGGACTTTTGCCTCCAAGCTCAAGGGTAACTCGTTTAAGATTTGAGCGGGCAGCCATTTGTGGAATCAGCTGACCAATCTAAAATAAAATTAATTTTTTAACGAGTTAAGTTAAGCTATTTAAAACTCCCATGAATACAAGTTTATTATGCAATGTTTAGCCTGCTTATGATACATAGAAAATACTAAAAAGTTTAATGTGATCATTTAATGCTACCTAATTGGCCAAGATTTTTTGTGTCTGGTTTAACATTATAATACAACAAGTTTGAATACAATACTTAAAAAAATATATATTTCAACAATGACCAGACTCACCTCAGTAGATCCAGTGAAAGCTATTTTATCAACATCCATGTGTTCAGCAATGGCAGCGCCAGCAGTGGGACCAAAGCCTGGGACTATGTTGATGACACCAGGTGGGAACCCTGCCTGTAACAGACATGACATCAGCTTCACATGTTGCACTGTCAACCATGAATGTTAGTTAAAAATTTCTCTTTTGTACTAAACAAATTTCTAGTTTTTTTTTTCCAACTTCAATTTACTTAAATTATGACCACCCCTATTGGTTTCAACCAAAGGCTTAAAGTGCAGAAGGTTCTTCAGTTTTTTAAACTCAGCATATGAAGGGATACTGCAATAAGTGAAATGCCCACCCATTTTAACTTTTTACAAGCTTTTATTTAACTCACTTCCTCTGTCATCAGTCGTCAGTCTAGACGGAAACGCAGGAGTGAAAATTCGGACAGTTCTACTTGACCGACACGATTCACAGTTGGCACGTGGGTCAAGACATGAAGACAATGCAATCTGAATCTAAATTTGACTTAATTGGATGCCTAATTAATTTTTTATGAATTAATTAAAATTTGGACCGAATTAGTAGGCATGTCTAGCCAACCACACCACACGCGTCATCACCTTCAATAGCTGCGCCATCACGTAATGGCTGCGTTCAAAAACCATTGCGCGCCTACTGAACGTGATGTTCAGTAGGCGCGCAATGGTTTTTAGTCATGTAACTCTATTGTAAATAAAACATGTAAAGTACTGAAAAAAAATTCATAAAAAACGTTTTAATAACAAGCTTTTATGTAATGATGCACTAAAAAGTAGAAAATAAATTATAGACTACTATTTAAATAACTATAAAGAAAAGCGTGGGTGTCTTCCTTAACATTAGTAAAGGTATCCAATAGATACTAAAGTGACCCACGCTTTTCTTTATAGTTATTTAAATAGTAGTCTATAATTTATTTTCTACTTTTTAGTGCATCATTACATAAAAGCTTGTTATTAAAACGTTTTTTATGAATTTTTTAAGAGCCCAAGCTCAGTCCTCTACCTACTATAGCTCAGGTGGATACTAATATTTCAAATAAAAAATAGAGTTTTAGAAATAACATAATATCTTCTCATTAAATGTATTTGTCTGTTCGGTAACTTAAAAAACTAGGCTCCCATGAATGGTAAGAAAATGAACTCAAACCTCAACAGCCAACTGGGCAATGTAGAGTGCTGTAAGTGGGGTCTGCTCTGCTGGCTTCATCACAACTGTGTTTCCCATAGCAAGAGCTGGGCCCAGTTTCCAGGCTTGCATCAGGAGGGGGAAGTTCCACTGAAATTAGAAACACGAAATCTATTATGATATTAAAATACCATACAACATAGAAAACTATATGCAGTGTAAATAAAGAAATAAAGTTTTTTTTATCTTAAAAATGCCTTACAACATAGAAAACTAGTTTAAATATAAAGTATTTTGATCTTAAAATAGCTTACAACATAGAGAAACTATAAGCAGTATAAATATCGAGTGTTTTGATCTTAAAATAGCTTACAACATAGAGAAACTATAAGCAGTATAAATATCGAGTGTTTTGATCTTAAAATAGCTTACAACATAGAGAAACTATAAGCACTATAAATATCAGATATAACTTACAGGAATGATCTGTCCGCACACACCCACAGGTTCATGACGCACATAGGAGAAGTAGTTCCCATCTGTAGTTTTAAATAATTCATGAACAAACGACCCACTAGTTGCTTTATATTCAGGTAATAATTAGCATTAATTTGTTGAGAGAACAATTAACCAAATAAAATACAAAACCAAATTAATTTAACATCCAATTAGCACAAACTATACTTTAATGATGGATTACTGAAGACTGCAGAGATAAAAAGAATAACAGATAATCCTCGTGTACTTACCCATTGGGACAACTTTACCTCCACGCTTGTTGACCCACCCAGCATGGTATCTAAAAACATAAATTAAAAACCACATTCTAATTTTGTTGAGCTTTTGAATTTCAAGGAACTAAAGTATGGATAAGTAAGAAACTAAAAACTATATTCAAAGTACTTTGTAAAAAATAATTTAGCTATACACAAATCTATCATAGTTAAAAAATTAAAATGTAATTTACATCAAACAGTTAAGGAAAATAAACATGGATACTATTAAGATAGTATAGATTCTTTGCAACTATTTAAAAGTAGTGCCTAATTAGGTCTACATTAAGAGTTGAGTAGTACCTGTAACATTTTATTGTCAGGTCAAGATCAACAGCAAATGAAGCACTGAATGGTTTACCATTATCAAGGGTTTCTAGAGACTGAGAAGTAGTGCAAGTAAAACAATGGTCAATTGATAAATTATAAACAACAACAGAACAAAATTTTACAATACTTGGATCAGGAACATTAATTTCATGAAACATAGTTGATTTTCATAAACCATTGTTTTATGGATTTTAAAATACGCTAAACTTTTAAATTAATACCAAAATAAACGTGCAAAATAAAACATATCTGAAACATCTGATAACTGTTTTAAAGATATAACAAAAACTAAAAAGCAAGTGGTCATCCATTTACGGCACTGAATCATCCCTCCGCATACATTTAAAAAGAATATTTAAAAAAATAAATTTGACATATTGTAGCGTGATAAATGGATGGATCACAAAGGTAGTTTTTGAGGGTAGAGAAAAGTAAAGCTCCATAATACTAACAGCAATGTAGTTCCTGTCTCGTTCAATCAGATCTGCAAGTCTCAGCAAAAGATTTTGTCTCTCTGTGGCATCCATTGTTCGCCATGGAGACCCCAGCCTGAAGGCCTCTTTAGCAGCTTTAACAGCCTTGTCAACATCGGCCTGCAAGAGAAATTAACACTTTAATGCAGACTACAGCTAAATATAGCACATAAAAATAGAAACAAGCACTCAAAATTAAGATGAGATTTTTCATCTTTCATTTCCTTTTACAAATACTACAAATTTGTTGTAACAAATTACATATTTTCCACAAATAGTATAGGAACCTGAATATCTGTTATGACATAAAGTTCTGTTTTGAACCTAACAGATCACTGGGCAGGTGACATAAAGTTAACCTGTTTTTGTGACCTCTTTGAAGGGATAGTGTGGTCAGCAGTATGACAACTCCCTTTACTTTCACTGAGGTACCTATCAGAGTAGGGTGGAATCAGGGACATGCTAAGACACTAGCCAGAAAGCCAAACTCGAGACTTTCGTGTAAGCAGACAAATTCATTTCGATGAGCTAGCCCTTTAAAATTTTGTTCCATATAAGTTAATTTATAATGCATAAACTACATAAAAAAACATCTTATCCATATTTTTCTCTCACTTGTACCTTTATCACTAACTGAAAGAGACCACTGTTTTTCAAGCGGGATATTAGGATGCCAACTATTAGCCAGCATATTTAACACCCTCAAATCTTCAAGTAAAAAATGAATAAAAACATTCCTCCAAAATACTGCGAAGGTTTACCTTATCACCTTCAGCCACCTCACAGATCACCTCCTCTGTCGTTGGGTTGATGGTGGCAAAGGTCTTTCCACTCACAGCATTCACAAACTCATTGTTGATGAAAATCTAAACAATTTGAGGTACAAATTTAATAATTTACATAGATCCTATAGAAAATTAAAGTCTAACTTAATTTGAACTAATATTTCATAAAAACCAAATTTGAAATTGTATGTAAATAAGATATTTTGTTTACATTTTTATAATTTGATATGCTTTTTAATTATGTACTAGTATGCTTGATTACATTAGTTAATAATACAATATGACAAATGGGTTCATAGCCTATGGGCCTAGAAATAGTATAGTAAAAATGTATAGGGTTGTAGCCTAACAAATGAGATAATATCAACAATTATATTAGCATACATGTAACATGTAGGTACAGCTTATTAGTCATATCTATCAATCGGTATCATTGATTAGTAGACTACTAATTTACCTTAGCACACTTGATTTCTGGTTTTGTTATAGGTTTTGGTGCAGCAGACATGGATCTTGCATGGATGGAGCTTGATGCCCCTAGAGCAGACGCAACAGCTCTAGACCTCAACAACTGCAGCATTGTTGACATTTTGTGGCAGTTTTTCTGGAAAATAAAATATTTATGTTAAACAATGATAACACATTAATTAAACAGCAAGTATTTTAAAGCCAAATGCAGCAGTGAGGTTACAGAAACATTTCTGATAGTTTCTCATTTTCCCCTAAGACTCAATTGTAAAAATCAACAAATAAAGGCAGAATCGGTATCATTTAAATTTATTCATGTTCCAAAGTTCTAAAAGTTAAGAAGATTAATCGGAGGCCTTTTTTTTTTACAAGGTTCTAGATTCTAGATCTAATCTAGTTCTAGTCATAGACTGATGGTATACTTATTACAAATCTATCACACAATCTATTTCATAACATTTAGGATGCTAGAGTCTAGTTCTGGTTAGGTTCTGGTTAGTTTCGTTTCTTCCTGTCTGTACACTACTGTACAAGTCTAGATCTGGCTACTAAAAAAAAACTAAATATGTTGTTGTTAAGCCTTGGCCTATTATTATTAACTATAAATTATTAGATATCTAATTATTTATTATAAATTATAATTAGATCTAGAATCTAGTTCAGATTAGTAGGACTAGTACTAGATCTAGATTTAGAACTAGGTTAGATCTAGTAGTAGGCCTATTAAAAACTTAAAGTATTAGGCCTATTATTTTCACTTTTGGACTTTCCTAGATCTAGAGTTTCTAGATCTAGATCTAGAATTTTACCTCAATATCGCTTATTGCAGTGCACGGGCTCAGAAACCGAACCTCATCAGATCAATTAGCTAGGATAACTAACTTCTAATTTCCTAGATTTAGCCACTACTAGATTCTAGATCTAGTCTAGACTAGATCTAGGACCAAGGCAGGCTACCTAAAAAACAAAAACAGGATCTACCGAATGCCGATCTAGCCGGGATCTAGCAATCTTGAATCATGGATCTAGAACAGGGGTCTCCAAACTACGGCCCGCGGGCCAGATGCGGCCAGCGAGGTCATTTTATCCGGCCCGCGACGATCTTTTTGTCCACTGAATAAATGTTTGTTGGAGGTGGCTGAGGAGCAAAACTATTTGAAAATGTAGCTTTGGGTGCAAATACAATTACTCACCATGTTGCAGACATTGGTGAAAATATAGTGACTCTAATAGTGAAAAATGAAAGCAAGTTTTGCCATTTTTCAATTGCAATGGATGACTCGCTGGGCAGCTGTTCCATCTCTCAACTTCTTGTGTTCATTAGAGGTGTGGATAAAGACATGAACATAACACCAGAGCTGGCTTCCCTACATAAATGTATGACACTGTTACCGAAGAGGATATCTAACCATAGATAGTTCAGAGACAAACACAAAATCGCAAGATTTACCATATTTCACATCGGTAAGATTGTTAATTTTGCAAGAAAATTCTGAGCAGAGTATTTAAGAAAAGAAATAGGGCACTTCCTGATAGAAAAGGCAAGTCACAGCCATTATTTCTTTATTGTCTGATGAATAGTGGGTATAGAAATTAGTCTCTGCTGCAGACATAACTAGTCATTTAAATTTTCTGAACCTAAAATGACAAGATAGTGAAATCTAGTTTCTGATCTATACACCCACCTAAAGGCCTTTAGATACAAACTTGTCATGTTTTTGGAAAAAGTACAGGCTAATAACTTGACACACTTTCAGCAGTGCAAGGTCTTTACGGCTGAAGCAACCACTGAGTTCCCCACGTCATTTACATACGAGATCATTTAAGACCTCCAGCTGCAGTTTCAGTAGCGGTTTTCTGACTTGGATTCAAAGGCAGAAGAAGTGAGACTGTTTCAAAGCCCATTTGAAGCAAATGTGGCCACTTGCAAAGATGAACTGCAGCTGGAGGTCATTGAATTGCAAGAAAATGACTTCCTTATTAGAGACATGTTCAAAGAAGGGCGGATGGGTTTTCATAAGTTTTTGCACAAGGAAGACTTTCTTAATATAAAAAACTTTTGCATCAGAGTACCTTTCAAATTTTCGTACAACATACGTGTGTGAACAAGCATTTTCAAGAATGAAACAGGTGAAGAACAATTTGAGAGTAAACCTGGACCTCGGGTTGGGGGGGGGGGGGTGGATACTTGAAATCTGTATAGTCTATTTCTGTATAAATTATATTTCGTTGGGGGAGGGGCGCCACGACCCTGAAAGGATGCCTAAAAGAAACTCTGGCCCCCGAACTGATATTGATATGTGATAGTTAATGCGGCCCTCGGGCTGAAAAGTTTGGAGACCCCTGATCTAGAATCTAGATGAAACTAGAATCTAGATCTAAAAAGTACAACCAGATCTACGATTATTTTTTTAATTTTTATATATCATCACCTACTGCTTCTCCCTAAACGATAAAACATACGTACCTTCGAAATATAATTATAATAGATCTAGGCTAGTCGCGTTAGAGTGTTTTAACTGCTCTAGAAATCTACTTCTTGCAGACCTCCAACGCCAACAACAAGCTAATGGTGCTTGCTACAGTAAATAGTTTCTTGCACAAGGTTCAGAGGTCAAGTGGTGACCCCGGCAAAGTTGTGTCACGCTCTATAAAAGACCGACAGATAAACATTTTGGTTACGGTGTCTGCTTAGAAATCGTGTTCATGTTATTAAATATTGATATATTTACCTAACTAAAATGAACGTGCTAATATAATTAATATATAACACTAAAAATGACATTTTACTCTCTGCTATCCATTTTATATTTCCTACTAGCCGTCCCGGCCAGGCCCTGCTCTGGCTTCTGTGAAAAACCTTTCTGTTAAAGACCATTACCTGTGTGTTTAGTAATCATCATAAACCCGGCATTGCCCACCCAAACCACAACCAACCAAAACCAAAACAACAAAACGCAAACATAACGCTAACACAATTACAAATACAAACGAAAACAAAAACTTAACAACAAACACAACCACACCCACAAACACCAATACAAACACAAAGAAAAAACAAACAAAAAAGCAAACGAAAACAAAAACCTAACAACAAACCCAACCACAAACACCAATACCAACAAAAAAAAAATCAACGAAAAAAGCAAACGAAAACAAACCAAATCCAAACGCAAAACCAACCAAAAACACAAATACAAACCCAAACAAAAAAAACACAAACAAAAACGAAAAAAGAAAGAACGAAAACGAACCAAATTAAAACGCAACCACTAACGCAAACCCACCTAAACACAAAGAAAACACTAACGCGAACATAAACGCCCGGGGCGGAATCACCTGTTTTAGCTTAATGAACGACTATAGTACCCCAACTTATTCACAGTCTTTTGCACTCACTTAAACGAACGCGCCTGTTTCAATTTAATAAACAATTTTAATACTCCAAGCTTATCCGTAAAATACCTACAACATTTGCACTTGATCAATCCCCGCTAATTATGTAATTATTTTTTTTCCCAACACCAAAACAAAGTAATTAAAAAGTAAATTATTTTCACGGAATGCAATGGTTTTATAAAGGGAAGTAATTGTGTTTTTCCTAATTTATCAAAGGGAAGTAAGTGCTATAGGACTAAATAAAGACATAATTAGAATTTTTGTAAAAGATGATATTTTTTTTAAAACTTGTGTTTAATGAACATGCCGACAATTATTACTATAATTTGAAAAATGAAAATTATTTCCCAACACTTTCAATAGTAATTTTTTAGCTCATAAATTTAGACAAATGCGCACGATAATTTTCTAACTTTTAAATTCGTACAATTCCAACGACATACAAATGCATTACATACAGAACTGAGCTTTATATATTAGATTTAACATAAAAATGATTTGAGCACTACAAAAATGATGGAATTTTATTTACATGGGACACTAGTAAAAACTATGTTAATAGCATCATTTTAAAACGATAAGACTATAAGACAGAGGCGTAGCGAGGGGGGGGGGGGGAGGGTGCGGATCGCACCGGGTGACACCAATTAGGGGGTGACACCAAGGCAAAACAAAGCAACATATATACAGAAAAATGATAATTTCACTTAATTAAATGATTAATTAGAGTAGATTAAAAAGTCTTTTAAGAGTAAAGTGGACAATCCTGACAAGGATGGAGGGGTGGGGGGGTGACACCATGACGTAAACGTGCAAATTATAAAGAAAACATGCAACCTGCAGCTGAATTTATAACCGTATATAAATACAAATCGTTAGTATCATCTGAGCAGTTTAAAATTAAAGCAATCACCGTGGGGAAGACGGGGACGGGGGGTTTGGTTGAGAATCATAATAACATCCAGAAGAAAAAAATGTTTAATACATATACACATACTTACAGGTTTGTATGGAATATATATATATATATATATATATATATATATATATATATATATATATATATATATATATATATATATATCATATCTGTGTGTGTGTATATATCGATATATATTTTTTTTACGGTGGGGGGCGGGGGGTTAGGTGCCGCACCGGGTGACATTCGACCTCGCTACGTCACTGGTTGTAATTGACACAATGGATCACAAAAAAACACAAGCAAATGACAGTTTTTGAAACATACTTTAATGTAAGAATTTTAAAAGAACCAAAGTTAACAAAATGTTAACAAAATAAATATTATCTTTGTTAGTCTGACACCAACCCATGGGAAAGACAGCAATCTGCTAACAAGACACCAGCCTGTTAACATGACATCAATTTGCTGACAAGACATCAATTTGCTGACAAGACATCAATTTGCTGACATGACATCAATTTGCTGACAAGACATCAATTTGCTGACAAGACATCAATTTGCTGACAAGACATCAATTTGCTGACAAGACATCAATTTGCTGACATGACATCAATTTGCTGACAAGACATCAATTTGCTGACAAGACATCAATTTGCTGACAAGACATCAATTTGCTGACCAAGACATCAATTTGCTGACAAGACATCAATTTGCTGACAAGACATCAATTTGCTGACAAGACACCACCAATCTGCTTACAAGACAACAGCGTGTTAACAAGGCACCATTCTGCTGACAAGACAGCAATCTTCATACAAGACACCAATCTACTAACAAGACACCAATCATCAGACAAGACACCAATCTACTAATCTGCACGCATACTCATTTTTGTTTGTTTGTGAAGATAGAAGTATGGAGTCTCCAATCAATGTAAGCCTACTTACATGGCATCACATCTCCATAGATGATCATGTTTCCAATTGGCCAACAGTTACATGAATGATCTACTATAGCAGGCACGTCGCATGATCTAACATAAGGCAAAGCATAATCTATACATAGCATAAACTGCTAATGGGTACATTTTTTACATTCTGTATTCAAGGGGGTCATCCATAAATGGATGCTTTTTTTGGACGATTTTTACCTCCCCCCCCCCCCCCGTCACACATCGTCACAAAGAGCCAGACCCCCCCCCTAAAATGACGTCACGCCTCAGTCTACAACCCCCCCCCCCCCCCTCAAATTGCAGTTGAATTTTTTTCTTAAAACATCGATATTTTTCCCCCAAAATCTTGTCTGAACTCTCTCAACAGAGTATTTTAATCAATTCCTATTACAATTTATTAAAACAGTTGTCTAAAACGCGAAATACGGCCACAACTCGTGTTCTAACATTGCTGATTTATAATGAAAAAGTGTGACGTCCCATCATCAGACACCCCCCTCCCCCTCATCACACATCGTCACAAAATTACGACCCCCCCTCCCCCCTACGAGTGTGACGTCATTTCAGGACGACCCCCAAGTACCAATTACAGCAACAGACTTGTAATAAAATGTTAACCACAACATTAACAAGTTGTGACTAAATGGATAGGCTACACGAAACTAAAATCAATATAAACAAAAACCTAATACAGACAAAATTATGATGTGAGTTGACATCCTATTCCATTGCGGACGTAATGGAAAATTGTGATGACAAATCAAGGGGCTAGTCGGGTGTTTTACAACGCTGTCGCAACTTTGGGACAGAATATTTAAATAGACTCGGGTGTTTTAAAACGTTGAAACAACTTTGGAACAGAAAGTTTGAATAGACTCGAGTTTTTTAAAATGTATTCAGGATGCACTTTGATCTCCGACAACAAGACATCTAAAACAGATTTTATCTTGCTGGTACTGGTGCCCGTTAGCTTAGTAGGTGAGAGCAATTTATCAGCTGTTTCTTTAGAACATTTTAGTCTCTTTTGTAAATATTCACTTTTTGTTTTGCAGCCTTCTAAAGCGACAAGATCTGCATTCAATCTATTGTAAGTTCCATTTTTCTCACATAGCTTTAAGTAGTTGTCGACCGGTATACCCGCAGCCTGCCTGAAATCCCATTTCTGTTTTAATCTAGGCACAGAATATTTAAACAGTTTTCTATGCACAATTACATACTCTGAATTTAGTTTTGCTTCGTTAAGAAAAAAGTCTAAAGTACTTTTCAGTTTATTTGTTTTGATGTTACGCAGATATAGACTAGATGACAGATAATCAGCTGTTCTTTTGTCACATTCAAGTCTCATTTGGAGATATTCAGATGGACAAGTGCATCCTTCTAATGCATCAAGCTCATCACACATGTTCTTGTATCCAATATCAAATTGCTTGCCACCACATTCCAAATAATTAAAAACTTTGTCCTGACTTCTGACAGGATTGTCAGCCAACAAGGAACTAGCCTGTAACAGCTCCAACCTCCTGCTAAGTTCCTTGTGTGAAGTGTGGAGCCATGGCCTTATATTTTTAGTGATCAGAGATAAAGGTAAATTGTAAGACAACAACAAGTTTACTTTTTGCTCTAGCAGTGGTATAGATATGGTTTCCAAACTTGGATGTTGAGTAATAAGTGAATCAACATCATTTTGATTGCAATGAAATATTTGCGCAATACGTTCAGATTTATTGGCACATCCTTTTAATGCATCAAGCTCATCACACATGTTCTTGTATCCAATATGAAATTTCTTGCCATCACATCCCAAATAATTAAAAACTTTGTCCTGACTTCTGACAGGATTGTCAGTCAACAAGGACCTAGCCTGTAACAGCTCCAACTTCCTGTTGAGTTCCTCGTGTGAAGTGTGCAACCATGGCCTTACATTTTTAGTGATCAGAGACAAAGGTATATTGTAAGACAACAACAAGTTTACTTTTTGCTCTAGCAGTGGTATAGATATGGTTTCCAAACTTGGATGTTGAGTAATAAGTGAATCAACATCATTTTGATTGCAATGAAATATTTGCGCAATACGTTCAGATTTATTGGCACATCCTTTTAATGCATCAAGCTCATCACACATGTTCTTGTATCCAATATCAAAATTCTTGCCACTTAATTCCAAATAATTAAAAACTTTGTCCTGACTTCTGACAGGATTGTCATTCAACAAGGACCTAGCCTGTAACAGCTCCAACCTCCTGTTGAGTTCCTCGTGTGAAGTGTGGAGCCATGGCCTTATATTTTTAGTGATTAGAGACAAAGGTAAATTGTAGGACAACAGCAAGTTTACTTTTTGCTCTAGCAGTGGTATA